TGTCGAGTTTCTATAGTTTTTCTAAGTTTTACCTTACACCTTTTTAAATGTTTTTGTAATTTTTTGTATGATTTATGTCCTGTGTAAAGCACGTTGGTTGCACTGAATGAAACATGCTTTATATACAAACTTGATCAATTGATATGGTTGATACAAAACAATTATCTGATCCACGTCGCTTCCAGCCTCATCAACAAACGGGGAGTAAGAGCCGTCCGCCGCTCCTGCCCCCTCTTCTGGCGCTCTTCCACCCTGACCTCCGTATACCACCGACTGACTGACTCACGCACTTCAAATCCACCCACAAAACTCATCTTTTAGAATCCTAGTCACTCACATCCAATACGGCCCGAACTACACAGTCTTTAAATGTACGTGTTTACTTGCTATGGTCAGGCAGCCTGGAGTGTCGCGAAAGGCACCGAGTAATAATACTTACATTTTTGTGTACAATGTAAACGGTACAAGTGGAAACGTGTCCTTACTACAGTGAATTCATTGGGTCAGTCATCACAAATGTTGCCAAACCCACACTCACACTTTGAGTACGGCATGACTCAACAACAATATCTGAATGACCGGGGTTTTAAAAAATCAATCTGTAAAATGCGACGATTGGCCCTGTTTTTAAGCATCTGAAGTGCAATGTGTCAGTGCTCAACTGTGTCTTATCAGTACAACCACCGAGATCAACAGAAGTGCCAAGGGCCAACCAGGAAGCACATACGTAACTCTAAAAAAACAGACGTTCTGATTGAATTCACTGAGGATAATTACAAAAGGCTATTGGTTAACTCTTTGTCAAGGCACTGTGCGGGTGAAGAAAAAAGCTTGGGTTGTGAGAGTGTTAGGATGCACTGGGCACCACCCACCACAACGATGAGTTACCCATAAGCGAATCATGGCGCCCTCGTCTCCAGGTATTTAGTGATCGGACCGATGTGGATGGCGCCTAGAGGTGGGAGTGATACTGGCGCCGACTAGTGGTCTCTAGGTTCTTGCCCCTCCTGGTTTCACCAAAGAAGGTCGCTCGGTTAGGCGAAGGCGCTTCGCTAGAGATCGTGGCCATTTCAGGATCCGATGTGATGTTTGTGGCCAGTGGTTTTCTGTATCAAAGTTTTATATGGTTTCTGCAGTAGTGGGGAGAATACTGGGAGATAACAACGTGATGAGAAAATTGCTTTTTCTTTTTACATACAGTTTTTTTAAAAAATTCTGCTCGTGTGTTTTTTAAAAGCCAGTTTCATAAGCTATTTCTTATCCATATCCATGTGGGGATATCCTCTTTGTTTGAACCTGTTTTTCATGGTCTCTGGCCTGGTCAACGAAGTCCTCCTCAGAGTGACATATCCCGTCTGAGTCGATGTAAAAATTGACCAGATTGCGTAGGGACCATCAGGAACACGAAGAATCCTCGCAGACACGGACCCAGCGCCCTTTACGCGCAACAAGAGGCGCAACAAGAGGCACCACCGTTACGCACCGACAGAGGGACAACCAACGGAATTACGACTCCAGTCTGGAAAGTGATTTTACTTTGGATAGCGACTCCGGGATCCCTCCAAGTCACTCTCCTTTTTTACCGCAACGCAAGAATCCGCCACCAGGACGAAGAAGAAAACCAGGAGGGGCAGGCGCTCCGCAGGCCGCCACACAGAGACCGTGGACGCGCAGCCGCCAGCAGACACGGTAATCAACATATCATCCAAGTCACTGTCGGAGCAACAGAAGTCACTTCTTTCTAAGGGCTTATCTTTCGTTCCCTACAGTCCTGTGAATGCATTCGGCCTAAAAGTGGACTTATTTAAATGTTTTAGACAAATTAAATTACGTCATTTTTTCTCTAAATCTGGTCCATCCACTTCACAGCCGACCACACAAACTGTATTTAAAGCCAAAAGTGTTTTTTGTCCTAATACAACGAATGCTTCTATCAATACTTTTTGTAGAATGGTTGAACAGGACATTGAAAAGAGCATTTATGAATCCCACACACGTACATATTCTAATTTGTCAAAAGACGAGAAAACAGCCCTAAAAGAATTAATGAATGATAAAGATATTGTGATTAAACCAGCGGACAAAGGGGGCGCTATCTGCATCCAAGACGTTAACAAATACAGACAGGAGATTTTATCTCAGCTGTCGGATGCCCGTGTCTATAAAAAACTTGAGCATGACCCCACGGTGCCATTTCAGAAACAACTATTTGCATACCTCCAACAAGCAAAGTCTCAGAAATGGATTACTGAACAAGAATCTGATTTTCTCTACAATAAACATCCCATCTGCCCAGTTATATATTCGCTCCCTAAAATACATAAATCCTTGACCAATCCACCTGGGCGGCCCATTGTAGCACAGAATGACTCATTATGGTCTCCTCTTTCAACTTATGTGGACCACTTTATAAAACCATTAGTCCACAACCTTCCTGCCTATATAAGAGATTCTACAGACTTTCTAGAAAAGTGCTCCGACCTTAAAGATATACCTGTTAATGCCTTATTGCTGACATTGGACATCACTAGCCTCTATACCAACATTCCCCATGAAGGGGGTTTAGAGGCCATAAATTACTATCTACAGCAGAACAGCAGCAGTACAAGGCCTCCTGACCAAATCATCTTGGACTTTACTGAGTTTGTCATGAAATATAACTATTTCCGTTTTGAAAAGACATTCTATCTACAAATATCTGGGACAAGCATGGGCACCATTTGTGCCCCTAACTACGCCAATTTGTTTGTTGGTTTTTTTGAAAATAAATTTGTATTCAACAATGAAAAAAATCCATTTGCTCATAAAATTCTAAAATGGCTCAGATATATTGATGATGTGTTTTGTGTCTTCAATGGTACTTCCCAAGAACTGACGGATTTTGTCAAATTACTTAATAGCTGGATACCAAGTTTGATCTTTACTCCACAGTATAGTACTGTACAAGTCAGTTTCTTAGATATGGTAGTGCTTAAATCCAATGGCACCATAATAACATCACTTTACAGGAAGGAGACGGACAGAAACACTTTGATGTTGGCCTCAAGTTTTCATCCTACCCCTCTTAAAAAGAGTTTACCAATCAGTCAATTTTACAGACTCAGACGGATATGTCACTCTGAGGAGGACTTCGTTGAACAGGCCAGAGACATGAAAAACAGGTTCAAACAAAGAGGATATCCCACTACATGGATAGAAAATGCTTATGAACTGGCTTTTAAAAAAAACACGAGCAGAATTTAAAAAAAAAACTGTTAAAAAGAAAAAGCAATTTTCTATCACTTGTATCTCCCAGTATTCTCCCCACTCTGCAACCATTAAAACTATGTTCAGAAAACACTGGCACATACTCACATCGGATCCTGAACTGGCCACTATCTTCAAGTTCCCTCCCCTTTTTTGTGAACAGGAGGGGCAAGAACCTTAGAGACCACCTTGTCCGGGCCAGTTTCACCACCCTAGCGCCATCCACTCAGACCCTCCTTACGCCGATTCCTAATGGGAACTATCGTTGTGGTGGTTGTGCCCAGTGCAATAACACTCACAAAACCAGCTTTTTTCTACACCCGCACAGTGGTAAGAGTATACCCATCAAAAGCATTATAACATGTGCTTCCACTCATGTCATCTATTTACTGCGTTGTCCTTGTGGTTTGGCCTATGTAGGCAAAACCACAAGAAAATTAAAACAAAGAATAAGTGAACATAAAAGTTCTATCCGCAGGAATGACAGGGAGTATCCTGTAGCTGTACATTTTAATGATGCTAATCATGATGTGAGTGCCCTTCGTTTCTATGGGATAGAGCATGTTCCTCTTCCTGTGAGGGGGGGTAACCATGATAAGCTTCTCAAACAGAGAGAGGCTTTTTGGATACACAAACTGCAAACCCTCACACCAAAAGGCCTGAACGATGAGCTTGTCTTGAATGTCTTTTTGTAAATAGACTGCCGTGTGTCACATTGTAAGAATACACATTTTAGAATACATGTAGGAATGTATGTATTAGGACAGCCATTTCTTTATCAGCTGTCCTGTATGTCTGCTTCCATATGTTTTTTCTTCATGCATCATGTATATATGTATATATTGGTGTTTTCCACTTTTTGAGTTTTTGACGTTTTGTGAAAGTTTTTTGGTCATCTGGTATAGTTGATTACATCCAGGGGCGTTGTCAGCCCCTCCCTATTTAAGATGGCTCCCAACCTCTATTTGTAAATTTTGCCTGAGGAAGGCCTGTGGCCGAAACGTTGCTAATAAACCACTGGTGTTTGCAAGTTGGACAGTGTGCGGGTGTCATCCTTTCCTAGCTGCATAAATCTGAAACGCTGCCTCCTCCTGTTTAGTCCCGACTCTGGGCACCAGCAGGAGGCCAGTCCCTGTGCTCTTCAGAGAACGAGTGGGTTCATATGGCACTAACATTTCACAGATGTACAGTGATTTGATGTGCGGTATAGTATATAATCCACACACACACTTCACAGTGGGGCAAACAAGTATTTAGTCAGCCATCAACTGTGCAAGTTCTCCCACGTATAAAGATGAGGGAGGCCTGTAACTTTCATCATACCTCAACTGCGAGGGACGGAATGAAAAAGAAAATCCAGAAAATCACATTTATTTGCAAATTATTAGTAAGTAAGTACTGTATTAATGGCACCTATTTGAACTCATTATCAGTATAAAACACACCGGTCCACAACCCCAAACAGTCACACTCCAAACTCCACTATGGCCAAGACCAAAGAGCTGTGAAAGGACACCAGAAACAAAATTGTAGACCTGCACCAGGCTGGGAAGACTGAATCTGCAATAGGTTAGCGTCTTGGTGTGAACGAATCAACTGAGGAAGAATTTTTTTTTGCCCCACTGTATGCATATGTCTTTAACAAGGTTCTTATAATACATAGCGACAGCATGAACAGGTCAACAGTGCAAGTCTAGTTTGGTAAAGTCAATGACACCTTATGGGCAAACAACGGGTGAGACACAGAATATGAAATGAGATTGCAGACAGCTCTCAGGTTCATTAGTTGCACTCATGTGGCAGAGACGGTCCATACACATTGTTTATTATCTTGGATGTTTTCCAGGCTGAGTGTGGACGAAGGCCGACAGTGGAACAAGTACAGCTTCACCAACACGCCGCTGTTTGTGGACGGGATTCTGGGCGAGCCGGGAGAGGAGACACTGATCATGACGTGAGTAGCAAAACAACACACGTCCTGCATATATGTTTACAAAGCACAAGTGAAAAGTGCATATCTCGCCAAGTACAATTCAGTCAGTGTCAGGCGTAACTGTAAGACAAACACATCATGTATTGGCTTATTTTTATTTGAATTACATAAATCCATGGCATTATGAACAATTTTCTAACTTTCTAAGGGCCATTGAACTTGCAAACTTGCACACGTTGTCAATTCATGTTCATGCAGTATTTTGGTAGCTTATAGCCAAAGTTGCAACTTTCCATCTATTCAGTGCACCTGCAACTCCTGCACTCCTACCTACGAGTCCGGTTTGTGGAGATTTGAGAGATGTTGAAGCCTGCTCACATTGTTTCAAAGTGAACCTTTTTTAGCTAAAACTTTCACATAAGGTTTTTCATCCAACACTAAAATAACCATAACCATATCCCAAATACACGTTGAAATTTGCAATACACATTTCCAGTATGCAATAAGAATTATGACAGTATGGCGGTGAGGTGGTAATCTCAGTTAGTTGCCGTATACGGAACAATTTCAGCTCAAATGTAACATGGATATTACAATATATTTGCAATATTTTCTGCTCTCCGAGTTTATGCTGTGTGAGCTAAGCCTCTGTCTCTATCTCTATCTAAGCCTGCTCAATTCAGCCTCCCAACTGTTCCTGCAACGTTTTATTTTTTCCGTTTCATGAATAAAAGAGCTTTTTCACTGAAGGTCTATCCAACTTCAGTAATGCTCTCCCCGAACTACAATCACAGGTGATCTACATTCCTGCAGCGAACAAACGGGTGACAGCACATTGGAACAGGAAGCAAAATTACCGCAACATCAATAAAAAATAACATTATAATATAGGGTAATTCAATATTTCTGCACGAGTTGTTCTTACATTAGTTTTTGCATTGGTTTTTAATGTCAACACAGTGGGAGAGTAAGCTTGAAAAGTGGACTTTTCCAATCTGTTCTGAGCAGCTGCGGCTTCCCACCCTATGGTTTGAATTTGCAAATGTAAATTGCCTGTCGTGCTTCAATGGTTTCTCTCATTATGTGAAAGAATTAACTGGCCATAGTCTCAAGTGTACCTCACCTTTCATCAAAAACAGGTTCAGCTCCAGTGCCAAGACCTGTAAGTGATAAGTGCTGGGAAATTAATAGTTGTCTTTGTGGTATAAGCCGCATCCGACGCACCTGACTGAGAAGGATGTAAGAAGCAACTCTAAACTTGAGAGTTAGATAAGAGAACCTGTATTCTTCCGGCGGAGGGGAATTATATAGATTTCTGGTTCAAAAACTCTGAAGACTTAACAAAAAAAAAGCCGAACTATCAGCTTCCTTCCCCGTTATGTCCTCTAGCAGAGGGGTATCAACCTGGCTGAAGTCACAAGCGACCCCAGTGTCTTCTCTGGATGTTGTGTGACTGGCTCATCTCTGCAACATTACGTGGTGGTCGAGGACAGTGCTGTTGGACTGACAGACCAAGGGACCAGAGGGTTTGATCCCATTCTTGTGGGTTCACACTCATCAGCCTCCCCGGGAAGGTCAACTCCAAGGTACTGGAGGAGACTTTGGCCGCCAGTCGAATTTTGGATTCAGGACGAGCTGTGTGTTTTTTTTTATCCCAGCTGCAACACACTAGACCATCTCTAGCTACTCTTTTTCGGATACTCAAGGGATGGTTGGAGTTTTCCTGTCCACATGTCCTTCGTGGACCCGGAGAAGGCATTAGACTGTTCCAAAACAAGTCCTTTGGGTATTCTTCAGATCTGGTCCTGATAGAACTTGTATAAATGAATGCACTGATAATCAGTGTTGGGCACGTTACTTTGAAAAAGTAATTAGTTATAGTTACTAGTTACTTCTCCCAAAAAGTAACTGAGTTACTAACGGAGTTACTCCACTATAAAAGTAACTAGTCACCAGTAAAAGTAACTATTGCGTTACTTTTTCGTTTTGTTCTGGAACATAATGTGCACCCGACGTGCGCATTTTTACCTTTAACAGTGCCAATATTTCCATCTAGAAAAGGCTGTTTTGCTGCTGAAGTCCTGTTCACTCTTCATCTCGCTCTGTGCTGTAAGCACTAAACACCAACACCCACCACTGTGAATGTGGAAACACCGGTGAAGCACTGACTTCAGTCCAATCAGATGAACATATACATCATATAAATCAAGTGGACAATTTGTTTGGCTACAGCAAAATATGTTTTATGTCCGCATTGTTTGTTCATACAAAACGCAAAACTATGAGTTATGGGTCTCACCTTATAGCTATACCTTATAAATGACCTGCACAGTCCACTTCGGTTCAGACCAGTTCCTTGTTTCAGTCCAGATAATAGTTTGAGCGTAGATATGTAATCCTCCATTTGGAAATGAGTCCAATGAGTTTTAAAAAGTAAAACAAAACGTGTGTGTCCATAAACTCCTGTTTTGCTGCAGCCGGGTGCATCCAATTTCTAAGATCAACCGTCTTACACTTCACCTCTCTTTCTTATCATTCCTATAGTAATTGAAAAATTACCCTATGTGCATTTTACATTATCTAAAAATGTGTTATATGTATGTTAGCCAAACCTGTTGCTGTCCTTAGCAGATAAACCAGGAAGAGAAAGGAGCTTATCGATGGAATTGTGCAGCCGACTTCTGCGCTCACATGCGCTCCTCTGAGGCTGGCCTCACGGTGATACAAGCCGTGGTTGAGCGCGATTAAGACCCATATTTGTTTCAAAAACACAATTTATGAGCCATCCTCTCAACTGTAGACATGTAGATTGTAAAGGAAATATGTTTTACATCAGCCAATAATTGCTGAGAGGTTTTCTCATCCTCCCTTCTCTCATGACAACACGTTCATTGTGCGTCTTGAGTAACGCGCAGTAACGGGATTTTGGAAATGATAACGGCGTTATAGTTACTGTCAAAGTAATTAGTTAGATTACTCGTTACTGAAAAAAGTAACGCCGTTATTCCCATCACTGCTGATAATAGGAATAATATGATTATTTCCAAAGAGTCAGACATAAATTCTGAACATTGCAAAGCGCTTTGGGTGACCTCGGTCTGTAAAAATGCGCTATATAAATGAAGATTACACACTTACTTACTATTCTCCCTAATTAACAATAGAAAAGCTTGCCTGTTTTAGTCCTTTGCATTCGACCTACCCCTTACGGACAAAGAGTTGCCATAGTTTTGTTTTGTGTTTAGTTCCTGCCTCATTGCAAGGAGTTCCATCTTTAAATCTGGACTGTGAGGGATATACACTGTATTTTCTCTTGTGGAATTGACTTATCATTTCAGTATTTTTTTTTTCCTTCTGGGGCTTCTTTTAAAAACTATCTATCGGTTCCTTGATGGTGCCGTCCTAGGTGACCATGGTATTGAACCTTTCTGGATGAATAAATCTCAACACTTTTAGGAAAGGCCTTGAATTGATCTGATCTCTCGCTGTTCATATTGTATTATATACTCATGGATTAAAGCTGGAGTCAAATAAACCTGGCAAAGATCAGAACAGAACATGGCTCAGGACCAAACCCATTCCAAATGAACTTTAGACACAGATAACCATCATCATTCCAGCATAGTTTTTTATTTAAATTTCCACTCTGCTGTACCTGTCAACTCAATGCAGCAGGAAAAGAGTTAGTTGGTGTAAGACGACGATTTCCACAGGCTTTACATCAATGTTTCATGACGTGGGCCACCAAAGACGACTGACTGAGCTTTGTAGTACGCCCACAGGACACACACTCACACACTTTTCCAGTGCATGTCCCAAGTCTGCGGCAACCAGTGCAATTCTACACATACATTTAGCTTTGATGTGTGCTTTCAATCTCTTTCTCAAAATAAGAAAAGAAACATTGAAATCATAAAACATTTACAAGCGTTTTTACTCACCACTTTTTTCAATTAAGATATTACATTTTTTATAAAATCAGTTCTATACGCAGCATTAACAACACACACAGTGACGCACTGGTTGGCGCTTATGCTTTCGCCTCGGTTCGTTTCCACCTTCAGGCCTTTCTGTTTGCATGTTCTGTATAGGTTTCCCCCGGGTGCTCCGGTTTCCCCTACCACTAAAAAACATCTCAATGTCATCTTTAATTGTGTAGCACATTTACAACACCAGCTGCCCAAAGTGCTTCAGAGGCATGAAAGATAAAAAATTAAAGAAAACAGCATGTCCAGTAGTTCAGAGTGACTGTGGGACAACATATGCAAAATAACCCAAGGCAAGAATCTGGAGAGGTGTGTTCATTAACATTAGCACTGTCCCCCCCATTATTAAAGAGTATTAAACAACAGTGAATAAATAAATCTTCCTATCACTGTCACCATTCCATTTATATCAGAGTGGCATTTTTCTTAAAAGCATTTCTTCCACACAAACGACTCAAGACAAAGAGCTCAGTCTTGTCCAAAGAATAATGAAAAATAACTTCCACTGGCTCAGATCTTCATTCACGGCGAGTTTCTGCAGCGTCCCCCCCCCATGTCTTACAAGCCCCCAGAACAAGAGACACACCATTAGTTTTCATAATGCCATCATGCGCTGTTTTCTTATCAATTTGTACTCATTTTTACAGTAAGTGCCTGTCACGGCCGGGTGCCTTGGAGCCTAATTGACAGCGTGATTGTGATAAATAGGTTGTGGTATGAACGGTGAGGGCGGTCAGTGCACAAAAACACTCCCGCTCAATCTAAAGCCGCGCGGAATGTTTATCTCGTTAGCCGCCGTGATTACCGTAGACTGAGAGAGAGGAAAGTCCACGCAGATCAGTCTCCGTGTCTCTATCGCTGTTTTCCTTTACACAAAGGACATTACCAGGCTGAGAGCTTTCTGTTTTTGAGTTCATCGTGTTTTAGGCCAAATGCACTGAACATATGACTTTTGGGAGCTTTGAAGTCCATCCATATAAAGCTGGGGTACCTAACTTTCAAACTGTCAAGTTATAGTTCTTTTACTATACTTTTCATATGCGTGTATTGTTTGGGCCCTTTTACATCAGCATTCTCAGAAAGAAAAGTGAATAAGAAGCCTCACTCAACTCTCTACCCAAATGTCATTTAGTCCTTTGGCTGAAAATGTCACATGGCAAATAAGGATAACCCAAGATGCAGGACTGCTAAAATAAATTATTATTATTATATCAGTTATTTAAAAAAAGAATAAAAAAAAGAATATTACAATAACACTATAATGTTTGGGGGGCGACAGTAGCTCAGTTGGTAGAGCATTGGCCTTCAGGCCTGAAGGTCGTGGGTTCAATTCCCACCTCTACACCTTCTCCACCGACTCCCACTGATGACTGCTGTCGTTGTGTCCTTGGGCAAGACACTTAACCCCACTTTGGCCAAAGCCCCCACTGTAAGATCAAGGTAATGCTCACACTCAGAGAGCAGCCGTCCTCCTGTGGACTCACCACCTGCAGAGGGTCAGTGAGGGGCTGGTGCTATGAGACTTGGGTTAGCTAACCCTAACCCCCCTGACCCAGAAATGGATTAAAGGGTAGAAAATGGATGGATGGCACTATAATGTTTGTCTTGATTGATGTTGTCTCTGCCTTGTATTTTTGTCATATTAATGTGTTTTAATGACTTTTTAACAGCACGGCAGGGGACTAGAGATGAAAAATAGCCTTCTTGGCTAATTGTGGCTTTTTTAACTCAGGTTTAATTATCTTTATTCAATTGTATTTGTCACCTTTGGAATAAACTAAACTGAAACAAAAATCCAGAAAAACAATAAAACATGTCTTACTTGTGGTGCTTTCAGACCGCAAACGCTTAAACGCTGAAGCCTTGCTCACCAAACGCGCATTCTCTAGTTTTCAGACGCACGGGACCTCACACCAGAACGTCCTGACCAGCGCCGGAATTGGCGGAAGTAGCCGGCTCTGATGCTAACAGAGTTTAGCTAGCGGCTTCTCGTGTAAAGTTCTTCTCCAATAATGCAGCTTTGCAGGGTGTCTGTGTTCAGAGACCTTCCACGGACTTTATATAACAGTAGTATGTGTTCACGGAGGTGAGTTTATTTTATTATTAAACGGTACTTCCGCATTGGCGAACACACTCGAAGCAGTTGCATAAAGTCACGGGAGCATGACAACGCATATATTCACAAGCACAGAGTCCCCCATTGTCAACCCTGGTTTTAAGTCGAGGTGTAGCTCCTGTTTTGGCTGTTTATAGTATGTTCATTCTGCTCGCTCAGACCACCAATATCCCCGTGACCACTTAGCGGCTCTCTGATTGGTCGCTGCACGAACGTCCTGAGGAAAGGTTGAGCAAAGTTTATCTCCTGTGGGCGTCCTTTTTCCGCTTCTGCGTCCCGAGATTTGTGTGTGTTTAGGCGCTCGAACGCGCGTCGCCGACGCAACGCATGATCCGGTCTGAAAGCACCATTGGTAAGACAAATAGATTTGGAAGTACTGACATCAGACTTAGTGTTTGCCTTCATGTGAAAGAAGCTGATTTCAACATAAGCTAGCTGGAGCTGATTTCCTTATATGGGCATTTCTTCAGCGGCATTAGCTTCGTGCTTCAGCGATTGCAGACATGTTGCTAAGATAGTTGTTAAGGCAAGCTGGAGTTTCGTCCGCGAATGAAGGCTGGTCAATCCTTATATGGTTCATAACTGGACAATGTCAATATATAAAAACCAGGAACATACAGTAGAAAAAGCTCTAGACAAAATGGTGAGTTAGACACAAATGGTCCCAGAGCAAGACTTTTCAATAAGTCAAAAGGAGACTGATCAAGTTGGAGAAAGAGTCCATGAGCAGTTTAGGAATTCATCTTTCCTTTTTAGTAGGATTAAAAGTATTGGGCTCTTCTCCATCAGACAATATAACATCACAAAACCTTATATTGTCTGATATAGAAGAACCAATTACTTTTAAAATATCTATGAGCACTTCCTTATTGGGCTTCGTTTAGCTTTTGGGGTTAGCAGGTTAGCATCATCCATCTGTATACAGTCTACAGCTACACCACGCTCATGAGCCATACTCTTCAACATTCTGCTTCTGTGCTTCATTCATTCGCAGGATTTTTGGCCACGTCAGTCACCGCTCTGAATGGCAGCTGGTGAAAATCGACTTCAGGTCCATCTTTAACCGCAGATGCAATGAGATGGACTTCCAGACTTGGCACCTCCACAACCAGGTAACACCAGAGCCCAAACCGTTCATTACAGCTCTCACTAAACGCTGGCCAGATGGAGCGGGAATAGAGACCCCCGATCGGTTTGAACATGGAGCGACACTAAATGTGACATCTCCATAAATTGCTATTAAAATTCAGCATCTTTAAATTGGATCACTACCAGGCCTGCATAAGAAGTCACACGCCGTATCAATCTTGTGGGAAATGATATGATAACAAGTTTGTCATTAGCATAGTGCTGACGAGGGGAGATTGAGTGATTTATTTTGCATAATGTATGTATTGTGTTAACTTTTCCATATTATTCAATTCAGAAGTCATAGTGCTTGGTATCAACAATTAGACTTTCTTTGTGGCATATTTATGGTTGAATTTTTGTGGTATTTTTTTATATTTAAGGTACAGCATGGAAAGGCATCGTTAATTTTGAATAACTTATTGTTTCAATTTTCTTTTGTGGATGCACCATTCTAACTTTTTCTAGTCCAATCAAGCCCTGGTGATCCAAGATTGCGCCCTATTCAAATGAAAGGATTATCTCCCATGAAGAGCTGCTAATCAGAGCAGTGATAGAGCCGAGTCAGAGCGGGATGGAAACGAGCAGAGTTTGTGGCAGTAAAGTGTGGATTTAAAGAAAACCAAAGGATTTAAGAAGAAAAAAAGTTCAGGATAAGGGACACTACAATCCCCACAAAATCCGACCTTTATGAAAGCTGTAGGTTCTCTGTCGAGCTGTTTTAGTTTACATTGAGTTCTGTGGGACTTTTTTTTTCTGGGTAGCTTACGTGGATTTAGTCTGCAGTACCAAGGGCACCCCCTGTGCCCATGGGTGGAACAGCTGTAAGTTAGTAATACCCTATCCAGTTTTTATTATAGATCCATGAGTCCAATACCGATTCCGATACTTACTGAATTTGGTATTATTAACTCTGTGTACATATCACATCATAAAAAACAGGATACAAAATAAACAAGAATACACAGTTTGAAAAGAAGATTGGCTCCAGCCCCTCTCACTTATACAATATCACTCTCCTTTCTCAACGTTCTTCTTCAGTACTTTTTAAAAACATTTTAAAACCTTTCACTGAGGTACACATTGATTTGAGTGATTCTAAATGTAGGCACATACATGTCTTTGTTGTTCTTTGTCTGGGCTGAGAATTTCTATCATGAAATAAGTTTTGTACATTAAGGAAAAGGGGGCTTCCAGATGCCCTGAACTTTATCTGAGCATTATCAGAGTTAAACAAGTCTTTGCAGCTTAAGTTATTTGAATTATATCAACAAAGGCTTAGAACGACATCTACACTGCAAAAAAATATGAAATATAAGATTTTTTATCTTCATTGTATTACATTTTGACTTTCTTAAAACAGGATTTGCCAATGAAACATAAACTTTAGTCTTATCTCAAGTGCTGTTGCAATTTATTTCTTATTCTAAGGAAGATATTTGTTAAAATGTCCAATATTTCCAGTGCCTATTTCATCGTGGTACTTTTTCTTCATAATCTTTATTGGAAGCATCCAGAATGAAAGTGACAATTTTCCTTTTACAGAAAAATATGCACATCAATATTTACAATTCATACAGATAAGGAATAGTTGTAATCAAGACAATCTGGTTAAATCTTCACATCGAATGGCTGAACTTGCATGTTTTCTTCTCTATAATGTTGTAGCAATGTTCCGCCATATATAGCATTAAACCCATCCACCCTGAGAAATTAAAAACCCGAGTGAAGTTGATTCCAAACTGGAAAATCACCGTCACGCCACAGTCTAATAACCAGTCTTTTGTTTTAAATCTCAAGTCACTTCATGAGCCGCTTTCTCAACATCTCACTAGTGACACCCGATGGACACTCGGGGAAACTATCAGGTGATAATCTTTACATCATCGTCTCCAGCTCATCATTTATTCACTCCCCACACGGGCTAAAAATGGAAACGGCAGCTTCACGGAGCGCGGTGTTATTTTGTTCAATATATTCAAAGCGCTGACACATACAAGACTCTCGCTGTGTTTCCCCTCACACAGGTTGCTAATGTTAAAAGCAGTTTATTTTAAAACACTAGGACTACCGCAGTTATGAAGCTACTCAAACTTCCAGAGCCGTCGGTTTGGCTGCTCCCATTCAAACCAAAGGAATTCTGAAAAATCACCCCCCTCCCCCGCAAAAAAATTTAAAATCAGTTTTTCACTACATGTATTAAAAGTAAGTAATTTAAGGGTTTCTTCATTTTTTTTAATGTTGTTCACTTTTGTTAAATGCTAAAACAATTTGGTGAAAGGCTAAATTCTAAGGACCAAATGATAGCTTCTGACGGTAAATATCAAATGTGTTTCTATCGTAACAAACAAAAAATAAGGATATATCATATAATTTCTTAAAACTAGGGCTCCCAGAATTAGGAAACTACCAGAACACCCAGAGCCGTCATTTTGACTGCTCCCATTCAAACCGATGGAATTACTAGAAGTGTCCCCCAAAAAGTAAAATTTTCCACCAGTTTTTTACTTATTCAGATTCATTTTATTCGCCATTTGCAGTAAAACCACATTGGAATACATTAGCAAAAGTCCCCAGTGTGCACAAGACTCCGGTGAATATAACAAAAGCAATGTTTTTTATAGCTACCAAACGATAACTGCTGGCAAGTAAACGGTTTGTTGCTATGGTAACTATGGTAACTAACTTCTCACTTTTCAAAATTTTAAGATTATTTCACAAAAAATAATGGCGTAGAAATAAACTACATATAAAAACACTTCTAATACTGAAAACCATCAACACTGCTTCTGGGAGTTAAAGATAATTACTAGATAAATACACTACTAGAAATAGATAAATAATCACAAAGTTATGGAGACCAAAAAGATACATATACACTACTAATTATACTAGCAAGACTTAAAGCTGTCGATTTGACTGCTAGGCGAGTGCTCGTGTTAAAACAGATTTCAGCTGTTATTGTGTGACTTGGCATCTTTCTGTCTGCTTATTTTGGGACCCCCAGGGCGAGCCGTGTCTGATGGGAGCCAAGAGGATCTACAGGAAGCTGAGGTCCATGTCCCGCTGCGTGATGGGCCAGAGTGTCGCCCTGTCCATGTCCTCCGCTCCCTGTGAATGCAGCGAGGCCGATTTTGAGTGGTGAGAATTTATTTATACAGCACAGCAGCTAGTTGAGACAGTTTGAAGTAGTAAATTTGTACACAAAAAACAGCTTGTTTGTTGTGAGAAAGATATTGGTTCAAGAATAACATTCCCCACCCTTTTCTCTATGGGTAGAAATCAAAATTATTGTCAAGCGCACTCAGAGTTCATCACATGTGTAGCCAATGGAAGCAGCTTGTTTTCGATACAAACAAAAAATGACAAACTTATATATAATCAGAATTTGCTTAAATGTAGATTCATTACCAGATACCTTGCGGTTGTTCCTAGACCAAGTGTTTCACATTCTGGTCAACTCCAGTCATGAAAAAAAATGCACTTTTTAACCCAATTAATTACATTTTATGGAATTTCATAACAATAGATTCATTTAGATTTGGTCATGATGAGTCCAGTCTTACTTCCTCTGTTTTTTAGAACACTCTTAAAAAATAGCTTTTTAATCTCAATGAGGTTCTCCTGGTTAAAAATAAATAAATAAAGCACTTTCTGCTTCACGAATCATCATGTTTGTCCCTAAGAGTCTTTTAAAAGTAAAATCACGCTCACGCTCAGTCGCCTCCATCTTGGCTCCAATTGAATTTGCCTCAGGAAGATCTGATCTGTCTTTGTCATGTGCTTTTTCCTCCCCATTTTCATTCTTGTCACTTGGTTCGACTTGTCGCAAAGGCTGCTGCTATTGATTCGTTTGAACGCTTTGTGTCCTCCGCTTAAACTGGACTTGCACTGGGCTGGTTTTAAACACAAACTGAAGCTATTTTGTTGTGTGACGATCTTTGACTTGAGGGACACCTGCTCTCGTTATAGTGTGGCAGACGTCTTTAAAGTCCAGTAAAAAATTGCTTTTGAAAGGCGCTTTTAAATAAAATGTATTATTATTACTTGTATAATGTGAATAAAACAATGTAAAATGTGTTTCTAATTGTGGTGAAAGCTCTTCTAAGGACAGATTCCAAATAGCCTTGGTTTTCAATGTTGTAGTGGATTGTGTGCATTTGTCCCTATCAAATTAATAGATTAAGATTAAGATTAGATTAAGAGTTTGTTAAAAAGTTCTATATAAATATTTTTTATTATTTTTATTATCACAATTATTGGTCCATATGGGAGCAGGATGACCAAAGTCCATATATGTTTGTAAAGTTCAAGATGAAAAGTGAAATGTAATCAAAGCATTGTTGTAATCGATTTACTGGAGGAATCGCTTCTTCCCCAGACTGGTGATGTCAAAGGGGAGACATGAGGCAAAAATCTACATTATTTATAGGCAAGGCAAGGCAAGGCAAGGCAAGGCAGGTTTATTTATATAGCACAATTCATATACAAGGCAATTCAAAGTGCTGAACAAAACAAGAAAGCATTAAAATCATAAATAATCACAGAACATTAAAAAGAAAGATACAAATATAAAATCCCTATATAACAATGATTCACTCTTCATCATTAATCATGTGTTTATATTTGAGTAACTCTACAGGAAGCCTCAAGTGCTTTGAAAACGTCTCTATAAAATGTGCTTCTGTTGTGCTCCTCAATTGTGCAGAAATTGGATGTGAAGTGAAGTCCTTGAGGGAAAAAGAAATCTCCTTGAAAACATGGATTTTTCTAACAGGAAAAGCATACATGGGTGAAGGTCTTTTTTTTCCCGGTTGCTGAATTTAGCTGTCACCAAAAACATATATGTACAAATCTTTCTTCAGTGATCAATTCTTGTGATGATTTCATGTGTACATTGACATTTTTAAACACAATCTCTAAATGGGATAAGACATTTTTTAATCTTTTGACCTTCTGATAAAATAATAACTATACTTATAGTTTAGCTGACTTCTTTAAAGTCCAGCACAAATAATGACAGTACTTGCTTGACTATAAGCTGCTACTTTTTTTCCAGTTCTTTGGCTACAGTGGCCTCAGAGCTCAATGCGTTTGTATTATGATGAAGCGCACAGTCCAACTCCAGCATGTTTATGTGAACAGCAGAGAGCCGAAGGGAGCGCATAGAAAATACACATTACTTAGCCACTTTAATGTGATTAAGGTATTGTCAGAACAGAGTTTATGGACTTATTATTTTGGTTCCGACAGGTTTTAGTAGAAATCATTGATCATCATAACTCAGTGGTTTAAAACATCTCATCATCAAATAAAGTAAAACAGTTGTTTATCGGCTTTGTTTTGCTCATCAACTGTGGGTTAAACGTTACATTACAACATGGAAAACTGTAGCTTACATTCAAGTGGGACCTTAAAGTGAAAAATATGTACTTTCTTTTAAATACTCTGACTGGCCCGGTATGTTTCGTACCTGGCATAATAGTTTTTCAATTGAGAAATGCCAGACCGTCCTGCCCGCTGAAATTCCATGGAGGTGGGGCTAAAGTTCTTGAGCTTCATTCATTTGATGCTTTTTATGGTAAATAAATGAAAGGAAGGTCTTGTCTTTTGTTTTTGTGGTTTTGTCAGGGAAGACTGTGGTGAAAACTGCATTAACAATGACAAAATGATCCTATTTCATAAAGATACAATACATGTCTTCCTTGGAATGAAAAAAAAAAAACATCAAAATGTTCCTTGTCAAGACAATCCCCTTAACATATCCAAACCTTACTACAGCCAAAATAAGTCTGAAGGTGCGAATGTTTGGACACAACATTTCTGCTAATGAGAACAACAAAGGCATAGGGTTGTCAATGTATCAAATTTTGAAAGAATATTAAAGGAGATAAGGCTAGAGCAAGAACTGGGACAGCCTACAGAGTTTCTCGAATACTAACCCTTGTATTATAATCCGTAATTTCATTGAAAACTTGAGCTCATTGATTCAGCTTGTGGATAAATTCAGGCCGTAAAAAGTGCTGAGTAGAGACTTAGCGGGCCGCTAACTCTCCTCCTCTCACAGCAGCAAACAGCCTGCGTCCTCCAGCCTCTACAGCGCTGGTAAACACTAGGGCTTTGACTTCGAAATTCAAATATAATTCGAAAATTTAAAAATACTGATGTATTCGAACGAATATTAGACAGCCCTTAATATTCGAAATGTATTATAAGCCCCGTGTTATTATGGAAGACTATTGGCACCTTAATTCAATTGTCTATTCATTTGTCAAATGGCTATGCATTATGTTATTTTAGTATTTATTTTGTATTTGTATTTGTCAAAGTGTAATGTTATATCCTATTTTGACTTGTAATGTTCTATTCCAAAAGTTCTAATGGCAATTCAATATGTAAAGTGTCGATACAATGTCTTTATATATTTCAAATTACAAGATTTTGAAATGAATAGCATATTGCCATGGAATTTTGGCCTCTTTATTCATTGTTCTATTCATTCTTAACATGGCATTTAGTTTAGAGTTGTATTTGGCAAAATTGCATGTTATATCCTATTTTGACTTGTGTTCCACATTTGAGTATGTTAGGTTTCATTTAATGTGTTGTGAAACAGCACCTCCCTCTGGATTGCATTGCATATTGCATATTGCATTGCCACATGGTTTGAGTGCAACTTAATTCAATATGCTATGCAGTTCTTGACCCCTGGGAAGGCGGGCCCTGGTCCGCTCTCGGCCAATCAGAGACGAGTCTCTGTTAAAAACGGGCTGCTCTTGGTCGGTCACAGTTAATGTGAAGCCGATTCAGACAGTGACATGGCATATCTTCTAACTACAGTGGGCACACTTGGATCTTCAGACGCACTCCGAGTCAGCACCGTGCGGAGAAAAACATAAGTTGTGAACTGTTATGCTAAGGTGGCCCTCAGTTGTAGCCATAGTGTACACTTTATGGTTTTAGTGCGATTTATTCCTAATTTCCTATATGCTCATTCCTCGCTTAAAATAGCAGAGTTACTGCCCTTCAACTTGTTAGCAACAGTTCACAAGAGCAGCCCGTTTTTAACAGAGACTCGTCTCTGATTGGCCGAGAGCGGACCAGGGCCCGCCTTCCCAGGGGTCAAGAACTGCATAGCAAATTGAATTAAGTTGCACTCAAACCATGTGGCAATGCAATATGCAATATGCAATGCAATCCAGAGGGAGGTGCTGTTTCACAACACATTAAATGAAACTTAACATACTCAAATGTGGAACACAAGTCAAAATAGGATATAACATGCAATTTTGCCAAATACAACTTTAAAATTCCATGGCAATATGCTTTTCATTTCAAAATCTTGTAATTTGCAATATATAAAGACATTGTATCGACACTTTACATATTGAATTGCCATTAGAGCTTTTGGAATAGAACATTAAATGTCAAAATTGGATATAACATTACACTTTGACAAATACAAATACAAAATAAATACTAAAATAACATAATGCATAGCCATTTGACAAATGAATAGACAATTGAATTAAGGTGCCAATAGTCTTCCATATGTTATTAGCCGACATTGTAGCCAAGCGCGCTTTGATGACCTCGCTGTTTACGTTACTTTTGCTCACCTGCCAATCACCTTATTAAATACTCTGACTGGCCCGGTATGTTTCGTACCGGGCATAATAGTTTTTCAATTGAGAAATGCCGGACCGACCTGCCCGCTGAAATTCCATGGAGGCGAGGCTAAAGGTCGGCTGGAGCCAGGTTAGAGTTCTTGAGCTTCATTATCATTCAAAAAAAAGATTTTCAAACTACAGTGACGAAACACTCTCAGTGACATGCCTTTGTACTATCTGTGTGTGTGGTGGTGTGTGTGAGGGAGAACTTTGGATCCTACTGTGGAAACACGGTAGGATTCACAGTAGGTGGAAACACCTACTTTCAATCAATAAATGAAATGAAAATGAAATAAAGGAAAGGTCTTGTCTCTTGTTTTTGTGGTTTTGTCAGGGAAGACTGTGGTTAAAACTGCATTAACAATGACAAAATGATCCTATTTCATAAAGATAAAAAAACGTCAAAATCTTCCTTGTCAAGACAATCCCCTTAACACATCCAAACATTTCTACAGCCAAAAATAAGTCTCACCTGCCAATCACCTTATTAAAATCAGAAAGTACTGTCATTGTGATAATATAATGTATCCATCACTACGATTTGTCGACCAATTATTACAGCTATATACAGACTTTGACGAGGAGTTCAAATAGTATATTAATGCCCTGGTTACTTAATATCAAGGTAAAATTATCGTTCTTTATGTGACTGTTAAACAGGCTCAGACGCTATACATGTCAGACCTATTCTTCAGAAATAAATACCCGTCTCCAGCTAAGTAATTATATCTCAAGACCGTCTGCTTGACAGGATGAAATACTAAAGATCAAATCTGAATGGTCGGCTTTTGCCTTTGGATAAACACGTCTTGGTTAAATGTCGTTGCAGTGATTACGGCTTTGAACGTCGCACCAGTGGGAAGTGTGCTCCGGCCTTTTGGTTCCACCTGTCCTCCATGTCCCGCAGATGCACCGCAGGAATGACTTTTATGAACAGCACAGGGTAAGTCCAGATAAAACTGCTCAATCATTGTCCTTTTCAAAGCTAAAGTTGCACAATGTGGTATTAAGCTGTTCCTGGGAACACTGTAAAGTTTACTTGAAAAAACCATGGAAATAAATTTAGTATTAACTTCACTTGAATTCCTCAAGTACATCCTTTACTTGATATTACCAAGTAACTCAAGTGATTGCAATAAAGTTTAAATTCTGCTTGTGCTTCAACCGGGTTTCGAACTCAGAACCCTGCAGTTGAGAGGTAATGGTGCTACCCACTCAGCCACCGGGCCACCCTGCCATTAACACACACAAAAGTGAGGCTTACTTGAACAGAAACAGTTCAATTCAAAGAAAACCCTGAGTGACATAGGCAAGCTTTAAATAAACTAACAATAAATGAGTAATATCTACTTACTGGGAAAAATATATTTAAAATAACTTTGATATCTGAAGTACAATTGAAGTTAGGGTTTCCAGTGAATGACGATATGAACAAAACTCCTTTGTCAGATGTCTTTCCATTACTTTTACCAATACATATACAGGGGAAATCTTTGACTGGTGGTTTTTAGAATACTTTGGATTGTCCTTTGAATGTCTCATGTAAAAGCCTACTCTACCCAAGGAAAAAAAAAAAACTCTTAAAGCCCAAAACCTTTTCATATATTTCTTTCAAAGATGCTCAAGATATAACAGCAATTATTCACAGAAAAATATAATACAATAATAAACAGGCCCTATATGTAGATAACACAGCTGGCTTTTTGTGCAGGAATCCGGAGTAGATGAAAATTAGTATTATTAGTGGACTTTATCGTCAACACGGCAGTCCATATCCATAAACAAAAGACAGACAGATAAAAACGAAGACATCAGTTCAACAAGTGCATAAAAAACTTGTTGGGAAGGAAATAATTGTTTGGTTTGTTCTAACTTTACCAACAATGGCGACAGCAATACATTGAACTCGTATAAGCAAGTGTGCGGTTGTTGCAATGTCTCTTTTACGTCTGAGGCTTTGATGTGTAATATTCTATAATTATTGAGTGTGTTATAATATAATGATAATTTTTTGGATCAAAACCCCACTAATATTGATACTTCATATGAATGACTTAATGCATTGTAACTACACTTTGTGAAGAGATAGAACAGTTATCTTCATTCATTGTATTTTTTCTATTAAACTTGTTCAAATTGTACTCATCTCACGTTCACAAATCACTGATGGCCCGGAGGAGATTCAATTATGTGGCAAAGTGAAGGTGATTCAGGCTTTTGAGACACTGACACGGATTTGAAATAGGTCCAATTTTAGTTCATAAAAACTCGTTGTTAAATGGTCGAAATTTATGATGTCAGTAAGTTCTCTGTATAATGGGAAAAACTGTCACGAAGCTTCATAGACCTTTGGATATCAGACTCTTGACCACACTGGGAAATGCAAGTAAACTGGAAACAAATGATTAACTTCAGATTTGGGCTGTATTAACACATATTATGGTGCTATGACATTTGATTAGTTGTTCAAATTTGATCAAAACAAAGCTAAAGTTATGCCTCTCAAGAACATTCAATTCAATGTATTTATGCTGTTTATCTAAATCTCAATAGCAATAGTCTCACAGGACTTTACAAATTTGTCGATTCCTCAAGAACACATCACAGAATCAAACGTTTTGAATACAGAAATACAATATTAACGAACACAAAGAAGTCATTGGTCCATAGAGAGCAGGATGACCAATGTTCATAAATGTCAGCAAGGAACCATTCTAAAACCAGTAGGGAAAAGTGAGAAACCTCAGGGAGCTTGAACATGAGAGAGGGATCCACCCCCACAGATGGCTAGACCATAGATCCAGAACCCAAGCTGTAGAACGAGGAATGAGGCGGTTTCCGTGAAGGGCAACACTAAAATGTTACATAATTGGTTGTTTATTTAGAACTACTTTTTAAAAACAATCAGTCTGTAGTAATTACAGCTCTGCCAGAGTCTACAAATCTCTGCTTACCATGTCTTGATCCATGCTTTTTCAGTAATCGTTTATGAAAAAGCATGATTGTACATACTTTTCCTAAAGGATTGAACTACAGTATGTGATTTGATATATTTAGTGGATTAAAAACCATTGAAAACCGCTTCACAGCTGCTAAAGTGATGTCTCTCCTCCACAGGCACATATCTTTCTAAAGAGTATGTTGTTGTTGTTGACTTCACGCAGACAGCAGCAGAACAAAGAGTCTGCTCTCAAACCCAACGCTGTTATAAAATAGTTCCATCACCATCACACGCTCCAATCATTGAATCACTGTGTACATACAGTAGTAATGGAAGGCTTCATACCAACGTAACTCTGCAGCAAATAAACTGCACGAACCCAATGGGAATCGTTTTGGTTCAGCTTAAATGGTTGTATTTACCCATCACCTGGGAACTTTTACCGGGAATACATTTCTTAAAACAAGCAATTCCTGTATGTACACTGACCTGGCTTCAATTGTTTTTCCCCTTTTGTATTGTGTTAGTTCTGTCATGAGAGGACCAAAATTCAAGACTTCTGATAAATTGTGATTTAATCAAAGTAAAATTCAAATCATTTCATTTCAATGTATTCTTGTATAGCCCTAAATCACAACAGTAGTCATCTCAGAGAACGGTCAAACAGAATCCAGTGTAAAAGAAACACAAATACACAACAGGGAAAAGACATGGGTCCCTCTGACAACAAGTGAGCAGCGGCACATCTATGCAACACCTGAAGCCAAGAAGGGGGTGTCTCAAATTATGCTTTGCTTTGAAGCTTGGATAGTTTTGCGGAAAAAAAACATGTGCAAAATGAACACAGGGGCAAGCAATCAACACAGGAACCGGAAAGGGGAACTCAAAAAGGACACAGGAGAACCGTTAAATAAAGTAGTAGATCATAAAAAATGGTTAAAAGGTTAATGTGGTGGAGATTTGTTTTCATCCTCACATCATTAAATTAACTCCTCTGTGTGTCGTGTGTGTGTCGTGTGTGTGTTGTGTGAGCAGCTACAGGAAGGTCGTGTCTAACAACTGCACGGCGGGGGTGAGTGTGCAGTACTCGGCCCGGAGGCAGCCCTGTCCCGTACAGGCCCCCAGAGGACTGCACCTGGTCACCAGTGAGGGCTCCCACACGGCCACGCTCGGGGCCAACGTCACCTTCCTCGTGGTTCTGGAGGAGGTAAGACTGGATCACATGAGGGAAGGTTTAATTTTCCCCAATTAAATGCCCATAAAATCACTCGCAGACCGCAGACATCACCAATGTATTACCATTGTAAGTAACAGAAAGTCACAAACTCGGAATTTGCTTTGGCGTATGGTGCAAACAAGTTATTTAAAAGTACTGAATAGATATAGTGGCATGACTAAAAACATACACATTTAACAGTAGTGACTAGATTAGGATTATTATTATTAATTTTTATTGTTATTTGTATTTAAAAGATTAGGATTATTAGAAAGTTTGTGTAAACTCTCGGTCGTACAGGGATTAGTCAAAGCAAAGGAAAATGTCTCACCCATGATCTTCTATTAGAAAGTGACAAATGTATAAAATGACAGAAAAATAAAGATACATTTATAAAGGGTTCACTCTGACAATTTCATTCAAATTCATTTTCCAGTCGTTAGTTATGTTGTGGTGTGGAATTTCTGTGTTTTCTATCTTTCTATCAATTCAAGGTACATTTATTCTGGGACATAATAAATGAATAATTCCTGAATCTTGATTAAACAGTAGAAGTGTTGAATCACAGTACACATTTAATTAGTTTTCTAACGGTCCTTGTAAAATATCATATGTCCTACCATGCTAAATGTATTGTGTATTGTGAATAATTTGACTTTGACCCAGCCCTTTTTACAGCTTGAATAAAAAACTATCTGTCCTCTCGTTCAGGGAGACGGAGCGCGGACCAGCATCACTCTGGACTTCGGGGACGGACATGCGGTCACCTACTCCAACGTGAGCTCCATTGAAGAGGGAATCAAACACATTTACAAAACTGTGGGCATCTACAAAGTGACGGCCACCGGAGAGAACCCGCTGGGCTCGGAGACTGCGGTCCTCTACCTTCATGTCAACTGTGAGTCACAATGGAAATTTCTCCTTTACCATTTCACTGTGTTCTGGTTAGGGCTCATTATGGCAATTTTTTTTTAACTTTAATTCATTTTTCTAATGTCATCTCAAGCCCTGTTTATTGCTTTCAAGAGGAAGTTAAATTGTTCATTCACTTCATAAATTCACTCACTGTGATTTGGGCGCTCACTTTTGTTATTCCCTTAGAACCTTAAAGCTGAGGTAAGATAAGAAATCCTTTATTTGTCCCACAGTGAGGAAATTTCAAGGTACCCAACTTTCACACGCCTATGTTGGTCCCAAGTGTCTTTTTTTTCTTTTTTGACAGACCACAAGTGTAATGCTTCAGGCTGAGGCCCTTCATCAGACATGACGACCTCAGCCCGAAACGTTACACTTGTGGTCTGCAAATAAAAGACACGTGGGAGCAACAAACCTGTGCAGATTTGTTTTAATCCAGGCCTTTCACACCACAAACAAATGAACTGTAATAAAATGCATCAGACTATCCATCCATCCATTATCTTCCTCTTTGACCATTTCTGGGTCGGGGGGGATGTCTTACAAGCTCAGGGAGACTGTACCAAATTCTGGCCGCATACATTTGAAACACTGCCTTCCCATCTTTAGTTCTGACTCTGGGCACCAGCAGGAGGCAAGTCCCAGTGCTCCTCAGAGTCCGGGTTGGTTCATATGGCACTAACATGTCTCGGATGTACTCTGGAGCGAGGCCATGGAGAAACTTGTACACAACCAGAGCTGCTTCTAGTCTGGACTCGAGCTGCTGCATTATGAATATACTGCAGCTGCTTTAATTTTAAGCTTTTATTGCTGAATAAAAAAATAGCACTGCATTAAACACAAAGCATTGGTGGTAACAGCTGTGTGTTAAGCTGACTTGTGTGTCGACATGTGCTTTAGGCTTAGTGCTAAGACTGGGATTAGACCAGACACTGTCGAGGAGAACACGCAGGATGCAAAGTGGAGGCTCATTCACAAAGTCAAAATACAACAGGGCAGGATATACTTAGATTTTTTTGTCATTTTCAATCACAACCAGATGTAGCTTCCAAAATCACATTCAGGCAATTGTGGAGATTCCAAGGGGAAGGACTATTTAAACTTTTTGTTTGCAATATCTGTTTCAATTGTGTTCAGAAATTTGCATTCTTTGACACCAGGACTCCCAGAATTCTGAAATTATTTTTTTTTTAATACCGCTCCCGTTCAAAGAAACAGTTTTGTTTTTTCTCAAATTTTATTAAAACAAAGTAATTAATGTGGTTTTCATCTTTAATACATGCTAAAACGGGTTAATATAACTGAAATTCAACAAAACTAAATACCCACTGCCTTAAGTAAACAGTGTGTTGCTATGGTAACTACCACATTCTCCGACCTGAGATGGCTCTGAAGACAAGTCTAGGGTCGAGATAATTTCATAAACAAAATTACATTTAGAATCAGATCAATTAAATTTATTCTCAAGAACTTTATGTTGAATTCGCCAACACAGATCAGAGAATCAAACAGTTCAAACACAAGAAATGCCATGATAAAAAACACATAGAGCCATTGGTCCATAAGAGGCCGATGACCAATGTCGATTCAAGAATTGCACATCCAATAACTCTGGTTGGCCTCTGCATTTGACATCACCTTTAATCTTTAGTCCCGCTTTGCAAACCTCTCTGCAATCCTCTTGTCTCTGCCTCTTCGAGAAAGCATCAGAACACAGGTAACCATTTGAATGCCCCGCTGATATCTTGGAATAAAAAAAGTCTCCCAATACGCTATAACATCAGTTTCTCTATCGCTCCGCCGCAAACTTGCATGTCTGCTTTTCTAAGCCGTGTGATGTGCATTCATCCAGATAGGAGGTTATTTTATTTTTTTACGCATTAAACTATTCCCCAGTTTCTCCCGTTCGTTTTATCACATAGAGCGGGATTGTCACTGTCAGCATGTATACAGTCTCTATCTCTTCACAAACCATGGCCTCCTCTTCCCATCGCCAAACAAACAAGTCAGATAGAACAAATCCCATTTCACTGGAGAGGGCTTATTCCCGTGGATCTGGATTTTCAGGGGCCTATATATGAAAAAAAAGAAAGGAAATGGCAAAAGTAATATGTAAGACTGACCACCGGCGCCCCCTGTGGCTTCGGGTGACAGATGTAATGGAGCTGACTTATTGATCAGGGAGTGCGCCTGCTCCTTCCAATCTGTCAATCCTGTGTGCCAGCCGTACAAATAGAGCGGCGGCGTCCTCAGGAGTCCCGCGAATGAAAAATAACACGCAAATGGCAAGCTACACAGGCGTGAGTGCAGCAGAGAATATTGAACAAACAACACACACCTACGAGCTTCATATAACACTCTATTTGAGCTTCAAAGACTCAATGACATATTTTAGATTTTGTCTGACGAAAGAGGCCTTGTTGCCAAAGTGGAGCCGAGTGTGGAGTTTTTCTCTAGCTTTTCCAGGTTTTGTGCAGATAAAGGACAAGTAGATTAACTTGTAAAGAGTAAAGATAAACCTTGTATACATATGTAGCTTTGTTTTAGAGAGAGATGAAAATACTATACCACGTTGGATAGCAATAAAGGCTTCAGAGCATGTCCAGGTGGGGGCTTTTCTGTGTTTCTGTTCACTAAAAACATACACAATAGATAAGGGTGAATGAGTGTCTGTTTGTGTGTGTGACTGTGGAACAATACAAAGTCACATTCAAATAAATATATACACACACAAGCCTTTTCCCATTCCTTCAATAGACACTGGATCGCAATAATAACTAACCCAGTGATTATTCCTTCAATCAATCTTTTAGGTATTTACTGTAGAACGCGGATGTGTAAAATCTACATTTTATGCAGAAAATTATTTTAGTTAAGCCACTGGAATATGTTTTACAGGGGAGTCCTGGCTCCATGTTCACAGGGAGAACATGCAAATGCCACACAGGACCCTCTTACACCCTTTTGAACAGATATGCCAAAGATAACATGTTTTAGAACAAAAACAACGTGTCCTGATCTCTTCACAGTTAACAGTATTTTGAAGGGAAAAAATAATAATAATAATATAGCTACAACATCTTCAAAGGTTTTTTGGGAGATTTTGCTGGAAGTCTCTGAACCCTCTCGGAAGAAAATAGATAAGATAGATCGTTCCTCTTCTCTGTTTCAACAAGTGTTATTCCGGTCTGCTACTGTCTTTCTCATTTTCTCAGCAATCTTTTTTGCTGCTCTTCCATTTTTGCTGAAATCACAAAGAACCAACATTAGCTGCTAACCGGCACCAATCCACTGAGAACGTCTGACAACCAATCAGTTTTGTACACGTTGCATCACAGCAAGAAGATCATGGGTTCAGGACAATCAAAACTTTTATTTGTTGAGTGCCTTATTTACACGAGGCCACACAAAGAGCCTCACAACCAATATTACATCAGGCCTAAATCATAAACATCAACAATACGACTTAATAACAAGATTAAAAGCAAACATTGAGATCACAAGAAATATTAAAAACATAGAAAATAAATTCATTAATAACCTTTATTAAAATCATAATGTCCACCTCCTGGCTTTTCTGTGTGAAGTTTGCGTGTTCTCCCTGTGTCTGCGTAGGTTTCATCCGGGTGCTACGGTTTCCCCTACCCCTAAAAACATGTCCAATAGGTCTGGCATGCTTCTGTATGGTGACCCCGCTCTCATGGGTGGAGAGAGAGACAAATGCCCCCAAAAATATAATAATTGTGATTCTGTGATAGACGCTATATCCATAATAAAGATTACTTACTTACTTACAAATCCTCCTAAATGCCCTGATTTAAAACCATGATACGACTTCAATGTTTTTTGCTCCATTCTGGGACAAACTCGTTGCCAAGAATATATTCCTCCTCCCTGAATATCCTCGCTCTCTAACATTGTATTTGCCTTCATTTGCTTGTTCAGTCTAAGTTTCCCTTGTCTCCTGCTAACTCTGTGATGCATGTGTGTTGGCGAGTAGGTCAGCTGGAGTACATCCATCTCTCGGCTCCCTTTGTGGCAGTGCGGAATAAGGAAGTGAATCTGACTGCAGTGCTGTGGCCCAGCCAAGTGGGAACGGTCACCTACATCTGGTGGATTGGAAATAACACTGAGGTACCCCCAAGACTTCCACCTCTCTCCACGTCTCACTATGTGGCTCTGTACTCTTTGCACCTCTTTGCCCATTTGTAATTAAGTAGGTTGCTGACTCCTCTGCTCTAAAATACGCAATCATTATTTCTGTGCAGTACCAGGTTGCAAAAAAACATGTGGCCTTGTTAATCAGCTGGAAACCGATTGTGCAAAACGCTGAGGTGTCAGATATGCATAATTACTGATGGCCACTCAGGTGTGGATATCACTTATTCTGGCTCAAAACTCCCTCCAAGTAACTTTTAAAGAGAATCAATGCTCAGTATGTAGAACAGAAGGAAGGGCAAACTTGCAGGTAAAACTAAAACTAAAAGCTGTTTGTACAATGTCATTATTTTTTATCTTTATCTGGGATTTCAGATTCCTCTCTTTCAGGGGAGTCCTGGCCCCAGAGAGAGTGGAGCTATGGTACATGTTTTAGTGGTAAGATAAGAGAGAAGCTTTAGTCAGGGAAATTGAAGGAAACCTATGAAGACACAGGGAGAACATGCAAAGTACACTCAGAGAGGACCAGTCCGTGGGTGGAATCGAACCCAGGATCTTTTTGCTGATGTCTTATTTTGACAATTTTAATGATAACGAGACTATTTACTCAATCAATGCATATTTTAGATTTTGAAATAATAGAAAATATATAGTTAAAAAAGTATGGTGGGCTAAAAAAATACTTTCTATCTGTAACTCCCTATGCTACCACCAGAGTAAAAAAGTTTAAGTTGTTTTTGTATTTTTCCCAAATTGGAAATTGATTGGCTGTACAGTCATATCAGTGTAAAGAATATAATGCCAGCATCATTGGACAGGAAAGTTTTACCCCTCTGGTGTGCTGTGAAGATAATCATTGCAACGACATGTAATCAACATTACAATATTATAGCACAGGGACAGGAGATTAGACATGTTTGTTCCAGCGGATCCTAATAATAGCGTGTATGGATAGAAAGACAGCTCCAGGTCTCTAAGACATTTGAGAAACTTAAACAATTTGGATAATTGCAGTGCCTAGAATATGATTTATTAGTGATTTAACAGTGAGAGTCAAAACATTTACCAGAAGGAAGAGCAGTAAATTGCCCATAGTGTCTGGCCTTATTCTCCGAGCGGCTCCTGTAAATGTCCCTGAGGACCCCAGTGCTGCAGGTCCTTCTCATATTATTGTACATTATGGTCTGACTGTAGACTATACTCATGAAAATAACAAATCTGAGACAAAAAACATGTAGATCACTTCATATTTAGCAAGTATGAAATTGAGGCTTAGTATACAGTTGTCCTAGTCTGCATCCAAGTCCATACTACTGTAAATATTATCTTACAACCATAATCTGATCAAATTTTGCCTTTTCAAAATAACAATTATTTAATGCAATCATAATCAACATATCAGCTTTGAACATGTATTTTTCTTCTTTCTACCTCACCACAGATGTTTTTTTTTCAATCTGCTTGGTCCCTTATGAACAGCAGATCTTGTGTTTAAACTTGCAAAACCTCAAACCAAGATTTTCACCAAGATCATTTAGTTGTGAATCAAAATGTAGTAATTTTAACCTGTATATTATACCTATTCTTATGTAAATGATTAGAGTGAGATGCAAGCCCGTATGCATTGTGTATGTAGTGGTTTCAAATTCTTCAGAGGGTTAGCTAATTTATCACTGAATTAGCTTACATGGATACATTTATTAATCCCACTAAAAGCATTGGGTTTTTTTAGGTGTATTCTAAACATTGCTGACAGTCACTAAATAATTACATTGCTCTTGAGCCGGATTGATGCTGCGTTGCTAATTTCCATTTGTTATCCCAGGAGACATGGATACAAAATCACTTAGACAAAACGGTTTTAGTGTATTTTTTTTCCCTTTGTGTTTTATCTTGGCCAAATAGATCAATAGCCAGGGTTCCCTCTCGTAATAAAAAATTGTTTAAATCCCAATTCTCAGGCCTGGCAGATGCAGCGCTCGCTCCTGCTTTAAATAGAATCGCTCTAGTTTGTGTGATCTGTCTTCATAATTGCTCTTGTGTAAATGTTTGTTCCGCACCGAGGCCTCCACCAGGACGGACACTTTTGTCTGTAGAGCATTAGCATCTCGGCTCCACGCGACGACCAAATGAATTATGAAGCGTGTGGGTAATCTCCAAAGACCACCGCAACAGAGCCCACAGCTGCGAGGTCGAGCCGCAACAGCTTCATCAGAGAGAAAGTGACGTTCAAAAGCAGAAGGAAGCAATACTTTACTTTTATTTTCATTCAGCAGGTTATGGGGGTCTTTAGTAGTCATTTGGTTGTTTTCAGATGTATTTACAAAAGCCAAAAAACAGGACGCAAAAAGTAGGGTTGGATGAAGCAGAAATGTTGGTACAAAAAGCATTGACTCACACACACACACACAAATGCACACTCAAACAGAACACAGCCCAAACACTCTCTGACCCTACACCTTCCCTCTTTCACTTTGCTCTATGCTCTCCAGCCAAACAAAACGATTGGTGAAAGTGGAGTTGTCAAAAAGATAAGCTAAGATAAACTTTATTGATCTCACAATGGAGAAATTTACTAAAACCTGTAACCGTTGGACGTTCTTGTCACTCCCTGCAGACTTCAACTTTCTCAATAGAAATTCTAGACCACAAAACAATCAGGGCACAAGAAATTTGAACTGCACAACCTAGTTTTAAAAGGGGTTGTATCAAGCAGACACTTTGGTTTGGTTTCTACCTCTCTCACTCATACAACACAACAGAAAGAACACACACTCACACTCACAGCCCACACACTCTCTGAACCTAAACCTTTCCCCTTTTAATGTCTCTGTGGACTCTAGCCTCAAACAATGCTAAGTCTCAAACGATTGAAAGAGGGATTGTCAAAAACCTGTAACCGTTGCACATTCTGGTCACTCCCTGAAAACATCAGCTTTACTGATTCTAGACAACAACTAGAAAGATTAGTATTTTTAACTAGATAAAATAGGTAATGGTGGTCATCAGGTCACTAGGGTTCCAGGTTTATTGCCTATGTAAATTGTTTTAGCTCCAGTCATGCTAATATCAGAGACTTCTGGGACAAATCTGTCTCCCTGTCCAATCTCTCTGAAGGTTCTTTCTGGTTACTTTACCACAAATCCAATGACCATGATCTAATGGAGAGTCATATATTTTCCTTTTCGAGATTCAAAGATCTTGTTTCAATTAAATTCAATGTTTGAGTATAGCCCACAACAGCAGTAATCTCAAAGGACTTCTGTTCAAACACGAGAAATGCAATAATAACAAAAACGTTAGCGCCTTTGGTCCATTGGGAGCGGGATGACCAATGTCTATAAATGTAATGAATGTGTTGTGAAAACAGAAGGACTCAAAATGCAAGACTGCCATAAAGATAGATGATCCGCCACCATTGTTGCTTAAAGCTGCACTAACTGACTTTGGGATTTTGAAGCCGCGGACTCGCTGGCCTCTGTCTTTCTGCTCCCCTCCCCACACCTACGAAGCTATCGCCCCCACACACACCCACTGTTGGGACGGAGCTAGCGTCTCCCAATATGGCTAATACATGGATATGGATTTTCACGTGGATGGCGTGACCATAGAACGATAGAACCGGGAAGCTCGGAGGAACGAGACTTTCTTTTGGATGGCTGTCTCGCTGTGTAAGCAGTAACCGGTGTCGAGGAAGTTTCAGGTTAGCTCCTCGGCTTGTTGTGCTAACTCAGCTGTCTGTGCTAACAGACCTGTAGATTTCTCACGAAAGTGGGGGTTAGTGGTCCACTGTGATTGGTCACAATCAGAGACCCGAAACACATTCTCTTCCTTGTTTCATCAAAACTCGATCTAAAATATAATGTCACGCTAGCACAAATCTGCGCTACTTTTTCTTCAAAAGGACGTATATCCCAATGCACTACATGGACATGGATAGCATTTTCGTAATGAATACAAAAATTAAGTTAGTTAGTGCAGCTTTAAATTTGTTCCCGGCTACTGCGCATCTCTTCACACAGCTGTGAAACAGCCCCCGCAGAGCAGTGTATCTGTTCTGTTCCACTCTGGAGGCTGTTTCTCAACGCTAGCGTTTTCATCTGAAAACCCTCTTCATGTAAAAAAAATGCCAATCCGATACCAAACTCTTAAAGTTTTTACTGTCGCAGCGTCCCCGTGTAAACAGCACATGAGGAGGCTCCCAAGTGGGGAGGGGGGTGAAGCCCATAAGCTTTTGCAGGGTGTCCTGGCCGAGTGTCAACACGAACCACAAACAATTCCTATAAAATACACAGTAATAAAACAGCCGCAGGGCCGTGATTACATTTCTTCAATGAATCAATCAAAATGTTTATTTGTACAAAACCATTATTTCAGACCAAAAAAACTGAAAAACCAGATAGTTATGAAGGGTGTAGGAATGCAACAGATACAGGATTTTGAGTGTTAATAAGTCCTAAAGTCCTAATCTGTAGGGCCACAGTATTGAAATTGTATGACGTCGGTTTGGGTCCTGATGCTGCAGATCTTCCTTTCTTCCTGGCGCTAAAAGAAAATGTCTACTGTACATTGGAGTGTTTTGCTGTTTATGACCATTATGTTTTTGTATTATGAAAATATGTCCAGAAATTATCCCAGACACAAACATGAAATGCCAAAGGAAATATTCGCAAGATTTAACAAACAAAGTAAACTCAAACGACATGTATAATGTTTGTTCTTTAAGCTGTTATTTAGTAATTGTTCTGTGTTTGTGCGCGCGTGTGTTTATGTGCGTGCGTGTCTATGCGTGTGTGTGTGCGTCCGGCCGTCCGTGTGTGTGTGTGTGTACGTGTGCATGTGTATGTATGTATGTGTGTGTGTGTAGCAGCCTCTGGTGACTCTAGAGGGCAGTGTGTCGTGCACCTTCTCTCAGGAGGGAGCCAACTCTGTGACGGTGCAGGTGTCTGTGGGCAGCTCCATCCTGCAGGACAGAAAAACCATTGCGGTCCACGGTGAGCTCACAACTCACTCACAGTTTAGTTTAGTTTATTTTAAACACACAATGTAAAAGCGCACACAACTTAAGACAACATCAACAAAAAACATAGTAGTATAGTTCAGTGTTGTTTTGAATTTAAATGACTCAGGACTAAATTACACTTTTTCTTGCTTGATCAGTTTTTGACCACATTTCGACAACAATACATTTTTGGTTCTGAGAAAAGAGTGTGCATGATCTCAAAGCTGAAAAGCCAAACTTTCAAACCACTACAATCATAACTTAGTGTATGTAGTATTACGCAGTTTTTCCAAAGTGGTTTTACTGCAAATGGCAACTAAATTCTTGAATCTCTTGAATCCTTTAAATATAATATACAATCCATCAAACTCGTTCCTCACTCTGAAAACGGTTTTCACACGCATGTATAGTTTAGATCAAAATAAAAGTGAAAAAAGAGAGGACACCCGTCATTCAGCCAATCAGCTCTCAGCCCAAAGAGTCAAATAGTGACTCACAGGGCTCTTCACGTATGCAAAAGATGTTTTTCTAATTAGAGGAAGACAGTATATTGTGGTCTGATTTGTTGACTTTTTTTTTTTTTTTTCACTCTTTCCGCTGGGGAAAGTATTATTGATGCAACACAAAGGTTAAGGCAAGGCAAGTTTATTTGTACAATAGATACATAATCACAGTAATGTTAAGTACCACAGAAAAAAAAGTTTAAAAAAGATTTATTTTTTATGGTAATCTATTGAAACCTATTCAGTTACTATTGAGGTAATGGATATTTTGGTTATCACATGATTAGCACGCAAGAATTACAATATTACTCACTTTCTAGGTTATTTTTCAGGCACCATAAGTGAGAAAAAAATCCAATAACAAAAAATAAAAACGATAATTTATCACTCATTGAAAAATTTCCCTTGGGGGCTGTCCATTACAGTATCCAGTATGTATCCAGGCCTCTTGGCAGTAAACGTATTTCATTGCATTGGCATCTGCACTGGTGGCATATTTGATTATTGCTGTGCTGAATGCATTTTTTAAGCACCACGTGGGTGGAATAGATACTTTTAATTTACGATATGTACACATTTCCAGTTGGTGACAATATTTCTAAAGACACCAGAAGGATAAAATCATAAAACATAACGAGCAGCTTGACAATGAGCCAGATTATGAAATGATGCACAATTGCAGATTTTATTTCCTTCTAATTAAGTTGTGTCTCTATTTACGAGTAATTGTTGGTTATGGGGAATCGAGAAGCTTTTCAGAATAGTTGTTTTTGAGTATTCACTTGTAAAAGCTGGGGTATATAACTCTTTTTGTTCCATTGTTTGTTCCAACAGAGAGAGTCTTGTGAAAATTACATATTGTGAGCAAAATGTACATTATGATATCAGAAAACATTCAATTTTTTGTGTATTTGTAAGAAAGAGCCCTGTGGGAGTTACTATTTGACGCTTTGAGCTGATTTGGCTGAGTGTGAAGGTAATTTTTCTTTCTCACGTTTTTGTCCAAAAAAAGTTGATCTAAAGACGTGAAAAAAGCCAAACAATACTTGCATGTGGAAACTTGAGATAGAACCGAACAATTGTGCTACTACAATAGTTATTTGGATTTTATGTCTTACTTATAGTTGTTTAAAACGTAGATACACCTGCTGTGAGTAAATACATTGGACACACATTCTTGGTTTGATCGCCATTGCAATTAAAATACATACACATCTACCAATCTGTTTATTTTGGTAAAGGCTTGGTTCAGAAATTGATGGGACAACTTTAATTATTTGTTTTCATATTTGTTAAACTCCTTTGTTATTTTTTTAAATATCAATTAACTATCCTCATTGAACTATTTGAAGCCAAAAGATTCAGTTGGACAAGTTTAGCCTAGTCATTTGTATGGATCAACATACTTGGATCTTCAGTAATTTAACATATTATTATTATTATTGATTTAAAGTGTATTTGTTGCTATAGGTCAACATGGTGATGTGAGAGCATGACATCATGTCACTTTAGAAATGAACTGCAAAGAAAAGACCATGTTTTCTCAGTTATTCCAATGTGGTTTTACTGCAAAAGACACGTACACTGAATCTGAATCTACTCCATTTACTGCATTTGAAAATAAATCTATAGGTCTTGTCCAAGGCCAGTTTTCACTTATTTTCCAAAGCCATTTCCAACCACCATTTTATGTTTTAAGCAGCTAAGCCCTAACATGATTTAAGTAGCGTGTATTGAGAATCGCTGTCCCGCTCATATTTTCTCTGGACATCTCGGAGCCGAAGCAGCCTGGACACACGAGTGATGAATGGTGCTGTGGACTTTACTGCTGACCCGTCTATCCCTGGGTCAGGTTAAAACACACTCGTACATTCTCCCCCTCTCCCCGCAGACTATTTCCGATCCCATCTTCTCGCCTTTTCATCAAACCTGGACGAGCACAACCCTGACGTGGCCGAGTGGAGGCTGGACGTTAGCAGAGTCATCAAGAACGCCCTGATCCAGGTACCTATATTTATTTTTTGTATTTATTTATTTTTGGCTCCTAGCTTTATCCAGGGTAAACACAGCTCTGCCTTGCTATGTCGACCCCCTCAAGGATTTTTTTCAGACAAGCGTTTGACTTTTATTATGATGGATGAGGCGGCGGAGGGGGCAGAGGGAAATACGGTTCAAGAACATGCTGATTGCTGCTGGGTTCAGGGCCGAAGAGAAATGTTCCATGTTTGTGAAGTGAGCAGGCGCTGGAGGCAAGGGCTCCAAAGGCCTTCCAGAGTTCAGGTTTCTTATAGTATCTTATGTCTTTATCATGCTAAAGTTAGGTATTTTACACTTACTTCTTTATTATATCAGAATCAGAATTTATTGCCATGTGAGTAACAGGAAGTCACAAACTAGGAAATTGCTTTGGCTCTCGGTGCAAACAAGTTAAAGCAGATTTTAATTATAAGTGTATAGATACTGACACATTTACAGCTAGCTAATAATAATAATAATGCATCAGTTTTATATAGCGCTTTTTTGGACACTCAAAGACGCTTTACATGTCATTCTTTCACTCCAAACACGGTGGTGATAAACTACTACTGTAGCCACAGCTGCCCTGGGGCACACTGACAGAAGCGAGGCAACCAGTATGTGACATCGGCCCCTCCGACCACCACCAACCATTCACTCACACACCAGACTCATTCTAGGCAATGGGGGTGAAGTGTCTTGCCTAAGGACACAACAGCAGTTTGGCACTTTACAGCCGCAGCCGCCCCACTGTGGCTGGTGTTCCCAGAGGTTAAGTGTCTTGCCAAGGACACAACAACAGCAGACAGTGGGAGTCGATGGTGAAGGTCGGGCTCAAACCCCCGACCCTCTGGCTCAAAGGCCAATGCTCTACCAACTGAGCTACTGTCGCTAAGAAGCATAGCATAGCATTTGTTGTGTGCTTTTTCTTGTAAGTAAGTAAGTAATGTTTATTGAAATAGCACTTTTTACAGACCAAGGTCACTTAAAGCGCTTTACGATGTTGAGAGTTCAGATATTTTTTGATTCTCTCCACATACGGGGATGACGGAAGCAAGACGCCGAACACACTGGATCATCAAAGCCTCTGACCAACACCATCCACTCACTCACTAATTACATTCAGACATATTGCAAATGTTTTTAGTGGTAGGGGTCTCCGGAGCACACAGATGAAACCTACGCAGCCGCAGAACATGCAAACTCCACACAGAAAGGCCTGGAAGTAGAATTGAACCCAGACCTTCTTGTTTATCTATGTCCAAATGTCCATACACCTGCCCCCAAAGCATGAGCTAAAAAGCCGTCATTGTCTGGCATCATTCTTGTGGTGACATAAACTATTGAGAATAACCCAATACGACTTTAGCACTTATCCTCACAGTGTTCCAGGTGGAGCTTCTGCCTCATAACTTCCCGTTTTGCAGCAGGGACAAACACCAAACCATCAATACGGCTCTCCTTGCATCATTTTTCTTTACACTTCTTGATGGGGCAGAAATGAAAATGGAAGCCAGAAATATTCCGCGCTCCCGTCTGGCTCGTCATTCTCCACTGAACATGTCAGATTTGTTATTTGTTATTGACTTCATTTTGGTACGACAACCCGAAGCCGAGGGCAAAGCATGAAAAAGGGAACGAGACGAGAATTTGACGGGATTGAAGAAAACATTCAAATTCACACTGGAGCAGAGGGAATGAACTGCTCTGCTGGAAAGTTTGATGTTTTGTTTTTTTTTTGCATTTTGGTTGCACTAAGGTTATGAATATTTTATAGCAACAATGTAAAGCTGTACAGTCCTCTAATGGCGACAGACTTTTTTATTTTAGTGTTGACATTTACCAGAAATGCTGCCGTATTGCATGGTATAGGCTGCCCCCTTCAGGAAGCAGATGTATTGCATTTTTCTTCATCTTTGTGATTCAAAGATATGAATTAAAGTATTTGGTTCTTCTGTACCAGACTATAGTAGGTTAGCGATGTTGTTGTATGGAAGAACCAAATACTTTTAATTCTAGTAAGAAGACAAATAAATCTTTCTAAACTCTTCACAGATTTGATTCTATGATCTAAACTTATATCAACTTTTTTGTATAAGTCTTGTTGAAATATAGCAAAAACAAAAGCGATCATGAGGTTGTAGGGGAATACGTGAAGTACTAGTTACCATAGCGACACACCGTTTATTGCCGTTAGCATTTATCCTGTGTTGCCAAATGCCAAAGCAGAGAAAGACTGAGGCTGAAGAGAGAGACTTGATCATGAGGTTATGGTTTTGTGTGTTTGTAATGTGTGTCTGTGTCCAGGCCACAGGGGTCAGAGAGGAGCAGCTCTTGGTCACGGTTCTGTCCGGTTTACCCACCACCGCAGAGTTCTTCCTTCTGCCGGATAAACAGCTGACCGAAGGGAAGCCCGACAAGAGCGCCGCACACCTAGACCAGGTGAGGGCAGTGTCCCCATCTCCACACAAATATGACACAGCATCACTCGGTGGCAAAGGCACTAGAAAGATAGATAGATGGATATATTGTTCTTGTTAGATTGTTCTTGTTGTAAATAGATACAAGAAATGTCTCGCTTGGAATGAGGAAATAATGCAACAGTTCTAAAACTTGGCTAAATGGCTTTGTCCCATTGGCAAATCTTGTTTTAAGACAGTCAGAATGTGCTCAAATTAAGATAAGAAAACACTTGATCCAAGCATCCCTCATGTTTTGTCATTTTTTGCGGGGTAGGTAGATAGATAGAAAGATCATGATTATAGAAAGATCATAGATAGAGAGACAAAAGAAAAAATAAAAGGTAATTATTGCTTCAATCAAATCTCAGAGGGCTTCACAAAGTTGTAGAATCGCCAACACAGATCAGAGAATCAAACAGTTTGATAACAGGAAATACAGATGTCTATAAATGTTCATAAATGTCCATAAATGCTGATCATCACCCTCCTTTGACCCTACTGCATCGACAAGCAAAAGTCAAGAACAAAAAATATATATTAATGAGGTACAATACATTTTTCTTGACCAAACGTTCCGCAGCTCTAAAGGAATTCACCTAAAATGTCCCACTATGCATCTTTAAAAGTCAGTATCCAGCACTGGTCATGAGAGTTAGTTTTTCACTGTTGATTAACTTTCTGTTGCCATTCACTCTTTTGTCCAGCAGGTGTCACTACTGTCTCACAAAGCCATACACAAATTACCTTTACTCTGTATAGTGTATGTACAGTGCAGGGCAAGTCCACAATGATGTAATCTTCTTCAATATTTATTAAGTGTATTAATTCATAGCCTGTGAAAAGCCTGGTCTATACATGTCACGGATGAAATCAAAGAAAATAGTCACACCATCTCCAAATCCATAAACTAAACAAATATTCTATTGTATTTAATTTCCCAAAGTACAAGAATAACAGTTAATCTCCTCCCCCTAAAAGACCACATGGTCTAAACTCTGATTTCTGCTTAAATCCACTAAAAATGTGTGAGAATGGTTGCCATAATTTCCAATAAATTTCAATAATAATGCTCTATCTGGTGGTCAGTTAATTTCAAAATCATGTAGATGGAGAGTTGTTTTTGGTAAGCAACCAAACATGACTTAAAAAGTGTAGCAATAAAATAAGATAAGATACACTTTATTAATCACAATGGAGAAAATTACAATAAAATCATTACCCTTCAGATTCACACTCTGATTCACTCTGATTACTGATTCATCTCACCAGGGGTAAATAAAGAAAGAAAAACACAGCCAATGGCATAAAAGTGGGAAATCCTGGAGTCTAATTCTGTATTATGCTAAAATTATGTTATACCTATTCCTTTGATATGCTAATGCAAGAGATTTTATACGTGCCTCTTTATTATGCTAAAGTATATTTTGCTGTGTGCTCTTCATTCCTACTGTTCTGTAACTTTTTATGCAACACTGAAATTTCCCCACTGTGGGACGAATACAGTATCTCTGAACTTTAATTCCCATGACCAGGAATTTTGCAACCCCACTTACCACTGAGTAATCAATTCAGACATTTTTGCTGACTTTGCGGTAGACGTTCTGGTCATCACTCCGTCTAAACCAGGGGAGTTTTGAAGCCTGCGTCTCTCGCGGTCTCTCAAGGGCAAACTGGACTTGAACTCCATTATTTTCTCTTGACATTAAACAAGAAAAAAAAGATTCCATGCACAGATTGATCAGGGCTACAAACTCATTTCCGCCAGAACGTCAAGAGCGTTGACAAATGAGGCGTTTGGAGACGGATGGAGCTGAAGCCTCGTGATCCCGGACCGCGACCTTTTCTCTCTCTCTCTCTTTTTGTAAATCGGAAATAAACAAAATCTCTCGTCTTTGTCTCTGCAGCTGTCAGAAGTTCTGCTCAGCGCCTTAAATCAAAACTTGGTGCAGTTCACGTTACGGCCGGGAGTCCAGGTGACGGTGTACGCGGCGCACCTATCGGCAGGTAATCATATACACACACAGACGCACACGCACAAATACACACGCACATACAACACACACACTTTTTTTTTTTTGTAAAGACAACAACACACACAAACACATGAACATTCAACAAGAAAATAAAACAAAAACACAAAAGGAAGAACAAGGACAAGAAGACAATAAAATACTAGAACAATATTCATAATAATAACACGGTCACATTTGCAAACATAAACGACTTGTGTTCATTATGGAAATCCTAGCTTTAACCCTTTAATGGTTTCAACAATTTGGCGGATCACTTTTTGAGTCACTTGCTTGAAGGTTATGGAGGACCAAAAATGACTAAAGTATAAATAAATAAATACAGGAATATATTAATAAATACATTCATTTTGGACAATAAAAACTAAATATTTACATTGATATGCTAAATATTACTCTGAAATCAAATAAATATACTTTTATTTAGGTTATTTATCAATATCTACATTTTTTCCTTTATTTATTTATCCATTTATTGCATATATTTATTTATGTATTTCTACATTTCTTCATTTATTTATTTATGTATTTCTACATTTCTTCATTTATTTATTTATTTATTTATCCATTTATTGCATATATTTATTTATGTATTTCTACATTTCTTTTATTTATTTATGTATTTCTACATTTCTTCATTTATTTATTTATGTATTTCTACATTTCTTCTTTTATTTATTTATGTATTTCTGTGTCGCTACATTTCTTCATTTATTTATTTGTGTATTTCTACATTTCTTCATTTATTTATGTATTTTTGTGTTCCTGTATGCTAATTAGGTGGGCGGTGCTGAACTCAATCTAGAACAGGATTGGTTAGGATTGCGTGAATGTATTGCATGTGAATTGCATGTTCAATCATACATGGAGGTAAAAAATAGGATTTACGGCCAAAGTTAGCCTTCTCGGTTTGTGAGAGGATGTGAAGCTGCTGTATTGTTGAAGAGCGTCCAGCACAGTTGCATCAAAGTCTACCTCTGGGTCAGCACTGTGATGAACTAAAACATCTAATAGTCTTTCCAGCTGAAAGAGTAGATAGTCCTCAGGTGCATTATGCTCAACATCATTAACATCATTTGCTAATGCTCTTAATTGATGAGCAATGGCTCCTAAAAAACTTGCATTCGAAACTGCCATCATACCACACAAAAATGCACAGAGGATCTCTAGCTAGCTAACAGAGTACCGTAATGTGAGGCAGGAATGATCGAGACCAGAGTTCACGCAATCCTAACCAATCCTGTTCTAGATTGAGTTCAGCACCGCCCACCTAATTAGCATACAGGAACACAAAAATACATAAATAAATAAATGAAGAAATGTAGAAATACACAAATAAATAAATGAAGAAATGTAGCGACACAGAAATACATAAATAAATAAATGAAGAAATGTAGAAATACATACATAAATAAATTAAGAAATGTAGAAATACATAAATAAATATATGCAATAAAAGGATAAATAAATAAAGGAAAAAATGTAGATATTGATAAATAACCTAAATAAAAGTATATTTATTTGATTTCAGAGTAATATTTAACATATCAATGTAAATATTTAGTTTTTATTGTCCAAAATGAATGTATTTATTTATATATTCCTGTATTTGTTTATTTATTTATTTATACTTTAGTCATTTTTGGTCCTCCATAGAAGGTCTCTATCATTTTTACTTTTCCATAGAGCTGCATCCCAACTTTTTGGTAGAGGCTTAAAAATAAAAAAAATAAAAAGTTTTGGGTCAAAAAAAAAGTGTTATCAGTGCTTCTACATCTTAAAAAAAATAAAAAATCATTGCTTTCTTCAAGAGTGCACACTAAAGGGGAAATCTGATTCAGCTAATCTGGCTCTAGTGGCTATGAAACATATAACATTATTAATAATATTTACCGTAAATTCTGGATGTTAAGCTGCAGCTTTTTCCCCTCACTTTGACTGCTGCGGCCTTTAGTACGGTGCGGCTTATAGTCCGGAAAATACGGTAATGCATATCCAAATTGACTTTTGGGCTTTTAACTGCTCGATAAAAACACATTTTATTTATTTTTCCTTGATTTAAGACAACAAAACAGACCCATCAACATTCAGAAAAACAACAAACAAATAAAAAGTACATAAATATATGCATTTGAATGTCATTAATGTTTGTGTTATCTGTCTCTTGCGTTTCAATACAGATTGCAATTTTAGGTGAAAGAAAAAAATATTGCAATAATATTGTTATCGCGATACTAAACACTCATATCGAATATCGCTCTAATTTCCAATATCGTGCAGCCCTACTTTTAGCTGTGATTAAACCTCGTTATTCCCCCAAAAAAACAGCCCTGAAGTTGATTCATTCCCACATTAAAATCAGGAATCTACTCACCGCTTTTAGTTTTGAAGCTGAACAAAAGCTAAGATTGTTCTGCTTAAGTTAAATTGTCAAATAGTGTGCTAGCATTTTCTTTAGATCCAGTGTGTTAAACTATCATTGACAGCAGCTGAGAGTGCTAGCATTAACTACAATAGAACTATAGCAAACATATAATAGCGTGATTGAGTGAGAAGTTAAAAGCTATGACGTCTATGTGGAATGATAGGTCGACTTTAAGGAACTTATACAAATAATGCATAATATTTGTCATCTAATTACAAACTGCAGAAATGGTTTCAACATTAATATAAGCAACCAATTGTGTGGTATGAGATGTCAAAACAGACCTAACAGGTGTGTTGGGACTTGCCAGGTAAGACATAGAAATAGGTGGGGGAAATACTTAGGTAAGATTAACTAAATAATGTTGCTGGAGTTCTAAAAGATGGGGCTAGAAATTGTGGAAGCTACAACTGTACGTTTCTAGACATTGTTTTTTGAATACATCTTCAAACTACCGTAATTTCTGGACTAAAATACTTTATTCTTGTTCTAGTACATAGCAATCTTTACTTTACTGAGTCACTGTGTCCCAGACCCTCATGGTGCTGACCCGCACAGATACAAACAATTATATATTTACAGTATATACACACATCTGCAGCTTATATTCAAGTGTGGCCTATATGTGGAAGCAATTTATTTTCTTTTAAAATGTGGGTGGTGCTGCAGGTGCGCCTTATAGACCAGAAAGTATGATACACATTGATTACTACAAACATTGAGTACTTTTCCACAATTTATACTCAAGTAATAGGCCTGAGTACATGTGCATCACCCACCTCTGGACACTGCGCATACAGACTAACAGTAAAATATTGTTATACAGTAGAAGACAGTCAGTATTATGGACACTCCACTGTGGCCCCTTAAACTAATCCTCGGCACTCTCTGTGTGTGATTGGCTCCTCCCCTTTAGCTGCACAGAGACTTTCAGAGAGTGAGCACCGCCATTTGTGCGTCTTCCTTTTGGCGACGCTGCTACTGTCCTAAAGAGGCAAATAAGACAGAGTAAGGAAGTCACACTACTGCTTACACAGGGCTTATATTATGCATTATTTATGCTTTCTATTCATATTTCACAGTTAATGTTTGCATTGATGATCATGATTACACAAGCCACAAACAAACAAAACAAAATCTTGCACCAAATGAGACTTGGGTAATGGCCGAGAGGAAAAGATTGTGGATCCAAGTGGTTGAATGAGTTTTCTTCTGAGAGAGAGGCCGGGTGCTCCCCGAGAGATGAGATATATGGGAGGAGCTTGGTGTAGAGCCGCTTCTCCATAATTAGAGGAGCTTTTTGAGGTGGCCCGGGCGTCTGTTTCGGATCCCTCCTGGCTGCTTCGTTTCACAGATGTTCTAGTCACTTGAAGGAAACCAGGGGAAGATCCAAGACCCCATTGGCAAATCTACTGTAGTTTTATAACATCAAAATATACTTAAATCAAGACATATTTTAACTAATCCAAGCTATTGTGTGTGGTGTGTAAAAAATTTTAAGCAAAGAGACATTTGAATTTAATTTCACACACACACCCCACACAATTATACATATGTAAATCTTGTGTTAGCTGTTTCTCTGAGCCTCAGGCCTATATCTGAATTGTCCTAAATTATAAATATTATTGTTTGTAGACAATCGCACACATTTGCTTTCATATCATCCCTACATATACCCATAGTGTGATTTTATCCGGCCATATAAACAAATCAGTAGTCAGTAGTCAGACTATGTAAGCAGGGGATGGTTGATAAGCACAGAGAAGCTCATTATGCATAATATAGGCCCTGACATTCAATATTTTAGCGACATTTATGCTGTTGTCCTGTTGTTGCATGATTTTTGGTCAATACACACATGAGGTCTTGTTGATGTTAGACCACTTGTCTCCCTGTCTCTGCAGCGCCCCTTGTGGACACGAGCGAGAACCACAGTGGCTCTGCAATGCTCATGCTGTTAGCCGGAGTGGTCGCGGGTTTAGCTGTATTTGTCATCTACAAGTTCAAGAGGTACAGTGTGAATAAAATGTCACTTCTTACGGGTGCGTGTGATGCTGAAAATAGTATGAATGCCCCATAATTATTTATTTATTTATTTTTTTCTAGAAATGTAAAAAAACGTGATAAAAATGTATAAGACTTTTTTTATTTTTGAAATGTGAGTAGTTTTGAACAAGGGGCTGGTGCTGGACTGGTTCTGTTTCTGAGCCCTAGTTCTAGTTACTATAGCAACACACCGTGTAGTTGACAGTTGACACTCAAACCATTTTAGCGCTTAGAAGAAAGTTTAAAAATAGGTTTATAAATTACCTATTTTTAATAATCTGGGGCGATTTCCCAGAATTCCATGGTTTGAATGAGTCAAACAACATCTAGTAGTTTCACAATTGTGGGAGACCTTCATTCAGTTCGTTACCTCTTTAATTTCCCATCCTTTCAATGATCAAACCAATTTTTTTGTAATCTAGGTATTAAATGACATTGAAATTTTAGTTTTTTATGGCCTTCAATACATTTAGCTTTATTTTTCTGAGGATACGTCTTCATATCTGCTGTAATGTCTCTGTGAAAAGCCTCATCTTTCCGACTCCCTCCACAGACTGCACAGATCTTTTAAAACGCAGTCTACAGTCGGGTCAAACTTCACTAAAGAAATGTCTCTCAGTGTTCAGTTGCTATCAATATCCATCCATCCATTTTCTGCCCTTTAATCCATTTCTGGGTCAGGGGGGTGGCAGTCAGAGATGCCACCCAAGTCTCATAGCACCAGCCCCTCACTGACCCTCTGCAGGTGGTGAGTCCACAGGAGGACGGCTGCTCTGAGTGTGAGCATAGCCTTGATCTTTCAGTGGGGGCTTTGGGCAAAGTGGGGTTAAGTGTCTTGCCCAAGGACACAACGACAGCAGTCATCAGTGGGAGTCGATGGAGAAGGTGCAGAGGTGGGAATTGAACCCACGACCTTCTGGCCTTAAGGCCAATGCTCCACCAACTGAGCTACTGTCGCCCTCCAATGCTCCACCAACTGAGCTACTGTCGCCCTATCAATATGAAGCCCTTTTATATCCGAGCCGCTGACCTTTTCTTAAATGTTAAATGTTTTCTCTCCGGTAAGGTGCGGTTTCAAAAGGAAAAGGCCACAACGGGTCAGAGAGATCAGACACGCTGAGAATTAAACATTTAGCTTTTATCACATGATGCCTGCGATATTACACTAGTGACGTGTTCTGTACCGAGAAATTGGAACGCAACAAAACTTTATGGTTCGTCGTTGGTGCCAGATTCAATTCCCTTCAATTTATTTTGGTATAGCTCTAAATCCCAACTGTAGTTATCTCGGAGGACTTAATTACACATCCAGAAAATCCCATAGAGCCATTGGTCCAGAAGATGACCAATATCCGTGAAATTTGAGCATCCTGGATCATCACCGCTGTCCTTAGACCCTCCTGCATCAGCAAGAAAAAACTCTAAAAACCCACTGTATGTAAACGGTTGTATCCTCTGTGTTTCCACTAACTCTCTAAATATTTAGTCTTGCCTTCGTGAGCATATTTTAAACACTATGTGAAGACCAGAGGTGCACAAACAAACGTAAGATGATGCTGAGAAAAATAAAAAATCCCTGCATGGAAAAGGGGTCAAGCAATAGATAGACGAGGAAGAGTTTCCAAAAAACACATAAATTTTTAAAAATAGTAGGAAACAGCCGAAATGTCTCTGACTCCTCGGCCTATCCACATGAAGCAAAAACTGTCACAGATCCAGATTTTCTTGCTTGAATCCTTTTCCCATATGAGTGTGTAGTGATAAAAGCAGCAGTTTAGTTTAGTTTTTTAGTTCAGTTTACAAGGTTTATCAGACAGAGGGATTCTATGCTTGGTTTATAAGCTATCAAAAAATAAAACATTTCATTTTCAACATTTCTTGCAAAAACTGTTTCTGTCCCATAGAGTTTCATTGGCACCTGTCCTTCCACTGAACGCAACCGATAAGTACTGAAAAGACATTAAAAGTACAAGAAAATATGAATCTTTTAGCAGAGAGAGTAGGTTTGACTCAATGTGTATGAATTCAAATGTTGTTTGCTGCTTGTACTTTTGCCTCACTGTAAATCTTTCCTCAAGGAAGATCCCAGGCCTCAACGTCTATGCGCAGATGCAGAACGAAAAAGAACAAGAAATGATGAGTCCAGCGAATCCAGCCGAGGCCACGGGCCCCTCGCAGCGGGACCGGGGACCCCCTCTGGACACACTGGACACAGCGTTCAACTCGCGGCCCATCGGTGAGAAGCAACCTCTTACTGTGGCATCATGTGTTCAAATCCTACACAGTAACTTGGTCTACATGGTGATTAATATGACCAAGATTAGAAACTCCATCTTCTACAGAGTCCACATTCAATACCTTTTTCGATACCATTTGAATAAATACAATATACAAAAAACTACATTATTTTAGAAGGAGAAGACATTGTGTTTATTTATCTTATTCTACAGAGATCCTACTCAAATATCACAATACCATTTAAATACATGCAACACTATATTTATATTAGGGCACTGTCTCAACAAGTGAGTCTTTAGTTTGCTCTAAAATTGTTCCATTTGACACAAAACTATAGTATTGAACTGTTGTTGTTGGAATCCTGCACAATATTTGTCTGGATTAATTCCCTCCTCAAACCTTGCTTAGTTTTCGATTTTTCAACAAATTAACGTAACCAAAATGTATTTTTTAAGTGCATTATTCCACAAATTCCAATGCAAATGGTTCTATTTCTCTAACCTTAAACATGTAAGTAGACTAGCGATACCAGAATAGCTACAAATGCTGATAAATTATGATAGCATATATAATCCAACAACTGAAAATTACACATATATTTTCTGTCTGTCGTATTCACCTCATCAAGTCCTTGTAAGAAGCTGCTTGAACTTAAACCTCATTCTACTTTCAGCATCAGTGTTTTGTCTGTGTTTCGTCATGTCATCCCATGTTTCACTAAATCCATGTGTTTTGTGCTCCTCAGAGGTGAAATGGGCTGAACCCCTGGTGCACAGTCACTAGAGGAGCCGTGTAGGTCTGCAGCAGCTGTAGAGTTGGTATTTCACTGTCAATATTGTTACAGCAGGGTCTTTCAGAGTGGTGACAACATGGATGAAATAAAAGAGAAAAATATATATAAGCTTCTAAATAGGGCTGGGCAATAAATCATATGTATTCAGTGTATTGACCTTTTTGTCAGATATGGTCAGGATAATGTTTCTCTATAACTGCTGTTTTTTGGCGGGGTCTGTAGTTTAGCTGAATATTTATACAGTACAGAGTAGGCACGACATTGAGTATAATTGACAGCATATACTTTTATATTTGTTTGGTATGAATATTAAAGGAGCAGTATGTAAAAATCTGGCAAAAAGTGGTACTGCAACGTCTCCCTCTCTCCCTGACTCAGGTTGCCAGATATGCAGACGAACATAATATCTGAATAGACAAGAGTCTTGTCCACAACAAATCTGTAACCAACACCTTTTTTCTCAAAGATTAATTATTTGAGAATCATAACGAGACCTTTTTAAGTTCTGCGGCCACATGCTGAACTACTGTTGTCAGTTATAGAAGTATTCAAAAAGAGCATGGTTTATTAATGCCTTTTGACAGATTAGGTCCATTTAATGATGACTTGACATGAAAATCTTACATATTGCTACTTTAATAATGTATTTGAAATTTGAATATCAAGCTTTTTCCTTTAAACAGATCATCCAAAGGGTTAGGATGTCACTTTTTTTTACCTCTTTCCCAGCCCTTCTTCAAATAAAACACCTCTTACATTGATATTTTTGTACACAACTTTAAACGGTTAGCCATGCTGTCTTTTTGTATTGCGTAACTTTGTGTCCATTCAAAAGTCTTGGCTACACTGAATAATTCACATCGCACTGTGGTGGAGCCGATTCACGTCATTCTGCATTTTCTCATGTTTTATTTCCCATTGTATCACCATTCTGTGTTCTCTGTTTGAGCATTCATTTTGCATTGTTTTCTGCTCATTTCACTCATACGCTTTCATCTCTGATCAACACCACCGTCACATCCCCCTCAGTGAGACAGGTGCTAATCTGATCATCACGTTTTTTAGGACCAAAGCCCAGTGGGAGTCCAACTGAATGAGTGCATTTTATAACAACAAAAACTGCTTTAGTCAATAATGCTCTTCCATGAGGCCAATTGCCGGTATCTGTCTGATAGGCAAGGCATGTTTATTTGTATAGGACAGTTCATACACAAGACAACTCAAAGTACTTTACAATTTTCAAGACAAACAATAACAATTCGATTTCATTTATTCTTGCATAGCCCAGAATCACAACACTAATTATCTCAGAGGACTTAACAAAACCGGTGAAATCGTCAACACAGACCAGAAAATCCACAGTTAAGACACAAATGTAGAACAATAACATTAGATAATCACAGTCCATTAAAAAGATTAAATCCTTCAGTTGTATGCACAGCTGAACAGAACTGTTTTTAACCTGGATTCGAACACTGTCAGAAGCCTGTCTCACATTTTGGGACTGTTCCCAATTTTAGCTGCAGAAATCTGAAACACTGCCTCTGTTTAGTCCTGACTCCGAGCACAAGCTGGAGGCCAGTCCCTGGGTTGGTGCATATGGCTCTAACATGTCACAGATGTACTTTAATGTGAGACAGAAGTAAAAAACAGTAAAAATACCACTTGAAATACCCCTCACACACACACACACACACACACACACACACACACACACACACACACACACACACACACACACACACTTATAGATATACATTAACCTGTCTCTCTCTCTGTGGCGCCCCCTGCAGGATGTATGAAACCTCATGTCCATCATGTGAAGTTTTCCACAGAGCTCCCCACGTACATCGTCTGATCACGGATTCAGGATTCTCTTCCCGCTCCGTCGTCATGGACACTTTTTACCGTTTCGGACTCAAAAGGTTTGGAGCTTTACACCTGTGCATGTTGGACATTCTGTGCTCCGCTCTCACAGAACAGACTCTGTACAGGATCATCTGGAACTTTTGAAGTCGTCATGTATTTATATAAAAATGAAAACTTTGACTTTGGCTGAGGACCACGGCATGACTTTTGACGTTCGACTCGCGGAGAAGGACTATTTCTCATCACTCTCCTCTCGGTTTGGCTGTCACCTGAAGCCGACAGCGGTAGTGTTATTATTTATTCATATACTTTTTGGAATAAGTACGTCGTCAAGAGTGAACACACATTTATTTTGTAAAACATGAATGTCTATGTTAGAATATTTGTGTACTTTAATAACAAACATACTTAACAGAGAACAGCTGTTATATATAACGTGTACATGAGTGCATCGGGACACGTCTCGGTTTACGGCACAACAACGGATTTTGTATCAAATGGCATCAAAGCAAAAAGTGATAAAATATGAGGTAATAATTGCTTAAATCACGTGGACGAGATTTGCCAAGGGGACAAAGCCATTAAGTCTTATATCAAAAACTGTTGCTTTATTTTCTAATTCTCAAGGAAGACATTTCTTGTTTCTTTTTCAATCAATCTGTAAATTTCTCCAGTGTGAGATCAATAAAATCTATCCTATCTTATTTTATCATTCAATCTGTATCTATAGAGGGCCTTTCATACACCGGGCAACACAAAGAGCCTCACAATCCACGTCACACAAGGCACAAATCATCACGTAAAACAAACTCCAAAATAACCATTAAAAACACAATCATTATCGCAGGTAATTAAAAACATTAGATCATTAAAATCACACAAGACATTCAATTATTAAAATCACTAAGGGATTAAAAAATCATAATACCCACAGTGCATTGAAAATGGAGATAAAGTCTTTCAGTTGTGTGTATATTTGAACGTTGTCTGAGTATAGACACGGCTCACATTTTCAGGGAGACTGTTCCAGATTTTAGCAGCATAGATCTGAAGCTTGTCCCATCGGCAAATCTTGTTTTCAGCCAGTCGAAATGTGCTCAAATTAAGATACATTTTGCCAATTTTGACTTATTTTTTTGTCACTTTTTGCAGTGATGAAATGAAGTTTATTTCCTTAAAACGGTCGGTATTTCAGAAACAATACACATATGGATATTTTTACATAATGTTACACATGTTTTATGAAGCTCTGCTTTATGAGACTGCTGTGAATTATAACTTCAACCTAAAAACCACTGAATGTTTTTGTTAATATGAATAATACTTCAATTTATGAAATGATCTGCATATACTGTACGTTTACTCCAGATGGTTTCAATCTACAGATGATATTGATGGTTGGAAAGCTTTTTACAGTGTATCACAGATCCTTATACGAACAGTATTGAAGTGAACAAAGGAAATGTTTTCCCGATGTAAAACTGTCTCATCCAGTTTGAACTATATTTTCAAAGCAATATATATAAATATATATATACAGCATAATCACACCTGTCGGAGGAAGAGGGAGACCTCGACCAGAGCTCAGGGGTTGGTTAACAACAAAACAACGGGTCCATGGAAAAGCAGATATTTACCCTCTCAGGGTTGAATTAAGTTTTCATGACAGGAAGAATCTGATATTTGGGGAACATTATCATATGGAGTAGAAATATACAATCCTTTTTTGAGAGAGACTTTCACAAGCAACGCATTCTGAGATGTTGCAGATTTGCAACATTGGCCTGATGTGTTAAATAGAACTGACCCTGGGAAAGACTCAGAGATATAATCTACTAATTGGCATGTACTGTATCTATATATTCATCCTTCAAATTATTAAAGGTTGGTAGTGATACAGACTTGAAATTGATGCCTAGAAAATCTGTTTCTGTGAAACCAAAGAGTCATTTTGGGAGTGAGACAGCTCCGCCCCTGGTGACAAGGTTGAAAAATTGTGTGTTGCTAAAATTCAACATACTTTCTTTAAAAAAGTATTTCTAAACTGTTGCTTTTTTAGAGGAAATGACTAAACTTATTTCCAAAAGCAGACCTCTTGTAAAATGTAGATGCATGTGTGTAAACTACAAACACATTTAGCAAATAATTTAAAGTATACAACAAATCAAATGTAAAGTAATATTGTAATTATTATTGTAAATATATTATTGATATTAATGAGATTCTCTGACCCACTTTTATATACAGTAATGGACCGATTCTCTCCGACCTCCTGTGCGTTGGTCCGCTCTCCCTCTTCCTCTCCCTCGCCTTCTGAAAAATCAACCAGATAGTAATTATTTTTATATAAACATGAATAACACAAAAAAGTTTTACTATTGTACAGATTTTCTATGAGAACAGGCGCAAAGGTGTAAAATGGTTTGATCGACCTCAACTGTGCTGTGTGTAATTGTTTTATGCATTTACAATCATATTTATTAAACAGATTAAAGAATACCTCTGGTCTGTCCATTCTTTGCAAAACAATCATCCATTGTCTTCCGCTTTATCCATTGCCAGCCTATACTTTCAGGCTTTCTCCAGCTCATCCAGGAGAAATTTGTCAGTTGCCATTAGACCAGACTTTAGGGTCCATCCAGCGTATTCCTCCACATCCATCAGTCTCGATGTGGAGGAACAGTGGCTCTAATCTGAGCTTTTCCCATGTGATTGAGTTCCTCAAGGGAACTCTGTCTTCTCCAGACTGAGAGAAAGTCGGTTTTAAAGATCAGTGCATTCTCAGAGATTTTAGTCTTTAAAAACAGTGACATTTCGTTGCACAAAATCCAAACGCACTGATCTTTAAAACCGACTTTCTGACCTCACAAACCTTCCGTGCTCGGCCTTCACTGCATATTGCATAACTATTCTGCACCTGAGCTCTCTCTCCCGAAATGGATCTGCTCCGTCTGAGTCAAAAGTGTCCTGAGGCAAGACCAAAATACTCCTTAAGTCCTTCATCCCAGACCTCTATCAACTTTGGCGCTGCAGTGTTGCTATGTGCGACCGAAACTTGGATCTAAACGTGGACTGGAAATCTAGAAGACAAGAAGAACCGCAGCATTTATAGATGAATCGC